ACCGAGGCTGCAGGGCACCAAAGATGCTGTCCAGGGTGCCCACAATCTCCCCAAAAAAGCTTGGGTGATCTCGGGTGTTGGTGGGGCACGCTCCAAGTGCTGGCAGGGGTTGCTCTGCCAGTGTCCTCAAGAGCTTCTGTCCTGCTGGATTGTGTCCTAGCACTGGGATAATGTCTCTTGCATGGCACGATGGATGATGGAGAGGTGGGGGTGTTTAGAAATCTGCAGCTTTGGTGTGGCCTGCTGTACCAAATGAGAGGAAAACCCATTGCTGCACCCACTGCTACCTCTGGTGCTGCCCACTACTGTGGCCCCTGGAAGATTGTTCATGAGTGAACGTGGCCCTCAGGCTCAAAAAAATTCCCTGCTTCCTGCAGGAGAGACTTTGCAGGCACTACATAACTGCTTCTCCAGGTTTGGAGGCCTAGCTGTGCCCATGTCATCTACCACTGACCTTTTAAATTCTTGTCTGCCTGTGTTAGATTCGGACCTTGCAACCAGCTGCAACGCCCATCTGCTATATATTTTGGCAAGAGGCGTGTCTGTCTGTCTGTCTACCTCTCTGTTCCCTATGGATCCTTGATATATTTTCGTCAAACTTGGCACAAGGGTTCCTGAGGTGGGGGCGGCAGTCTTTGTTGATATTTGGAAGGCGGGTGCCATTTTGAATCAAGATGGCAGACCAAAACATAACTTCAACCATTTTTTGGCATAGGTTTGTCCAAGAGTTCCTCAGGTAAGAACAGCCGCTTTATCGTAGTTTGGATGCCAGGAGCCATTTTTGAATCAAGACCAAACCATGCCTTTGGCATGATTTCACCCACTTTTTGGCATGGTGGGCCAAAACTCACAAATCATACTACCCATTTAAAAATGAGATTTTTTTGTTTGTTTTCTTTAACTACCCCAGGTAGTGGCAAGTACTCTCCGCCAGTCTATAAAAACTGAAACCCGCAACACAATGTTGCAGCATGAAGTGCTGCTTTTCAGGGTGACAGCCAGCCATATCTTATTCCATAATACACCATTCTATTCCGTTCTCCCCTCCCCAGATTTTCCATTCCTCTTCCTCCAACAGCCAGCCAGCATTCTGTGACCACTGAACGCACTTCCCTATATTTATCTTATTACCCCCCCCTCCATTATCCCTTGTTCATGAGTTTGGACTACATAAGGATTTCTCCCTGAGGAACTGAATTTCCGATTTGTATAGGATTGCTAATTGTGTAGGCTGGTGTTCAACAGGTTCCGATGCCGTTGTGTTCCATAGTGAACCTTACTCTGCAAATTCCGGTTTGTGCAGAGCTCTCCTTCCAAATGCTTTCTTCTGCCTCTTCTGGCATAGTTACTTTTTAACATCCCTGCCCACTTGAACAAAATGATTACACAACGTGACCAGCTTGAACCGCAGTTGAAGTGGCTGCTAACAAGGTAATGAGGGGCACTGGAAGGAAGTCAAAGGGCATTTGTACTACTGACCAAACTATTTCCTTGCTCAGCACATTGTCCTCTTGGACATTGCTTGACCAAGGTGGTTTGGAATTGGCCCAAACCTTGGCTGTGGGTGGGAGGAGAGACTGCCGATTATATTGATCATGCTGTCTGGGGCTGATGGGAGTTGGAGTCCAACTACACCTGGAGACTATTACAGTGGTACCTTGGGTTAAGAACTTAATTCATTCTGGAGGTCCGTTCTTAACCTGAAACTGTTCTTAACCCGAGGTACTATTTCTGGGTTAGCGGAGTCTGTAACCTGAAGCGTCTGTAACTCGAGGTACCACTGTACTGGTTTGGTGAGTGGGAGCCACATGTTGAAAGTAGCTGCAGTTGAAAGCAGCTACTAATCTTCAATGTCCTGTGCTGCAGTGCCACCCTCGTCATGTCCAGAAAAGGTACTGCAGCTCATCTGTTGAAACCAATGGAAGCCTAGTAAAATGCTTTATTCTGAGACAAGCCTCTCATACACCCAGCTTCATGTAATCTAATTTCAGACAGCAGTCTCTCCCAGTCCTATCTGTAGGCGGCAGGGGTTAGACCAAGGACCACGCGAAACAGATGCTCCACCACTGAGTTACAACCGTTCCATGGGAATCAGTATGTGTCATGGGCCAGGAGTCAGCTTCACCTGCCAAACAGCAGCCTGATGGTGGGGGGAGAAGAAGGAGTGGCTCCACCTGCAGCTGATCAGACTTCAAGGATGTGGAGGAGAAGGCACTGACGAGAACTAGCTGGCCCCAGCCTCCTTTCCCTTCAGGCTGCTGTTCAGCAGGTGAAGCTGACTTCTGGCCCATGAATGACACTATGGCTCTGTAGAACTATTCCTGCAGGTTTGACGGCTAAGTCTGGGAAACACAGGAACTCTGAGAATGGCAGACGAAATTAATGGACTATGCAGAATTGGACAAAATGACAGGAAGGATTTGAAACCTGCGGGACCAGAGATTTACAGAAGATTGGAAGAAATATATGAACTAGTTGAAGAGCAATTGTAGCCAACAAATTACGCTAGTAGGACTACAAGAAGTTTTGTAAGGAGAAATATATGAAGTGTTACAAAGTAGAAAAAGATAGAGATATTGGTAATGAGTTTTAAATGTAATAGGGAAAGTAAGAAATGCATCCTAAGAGATTAGATTGGAACATTTTCAGACAGGACTGATGGAAGTAAAAAAATTGAATAAGATGTAAAAGTATGTTTAATTACTGTTGAAAATGGTATGTTAAAAAACTAATATATATGTGAGAAACACAGGAACTCTGCTTTGCCTTGGTAATCTGGCCACATCTCTCTCCATCCTCCCTTAAAGGCTGTGCCTGCGCAGGTGGCCTAGGGAGAGTCTCAAGAGGCCTGGAAGGCTAGTTTGACCCCTGGGCCTGAGGTACCCCAATCCTTCACTAAATAAAAGCAAAGGCATTTTTGCATTTCTATCTAGTAAGCTGTAGTTCATTTTGGGCCGTAGGCTTTGATGCTTGATCATTTGTGCTTCTCTCATGGCTGGATGATACAGGTATGGTTTGTGGGAAATGTAGAGGGAGGGTTCCCGTAGGATTGGAGAGCTTGATACTGAGGCTCCTAAGGAAGAGCCATGCCACCCTCTCTAGCCCCACATCCCTTTCCAGGGCCTTTGGAGTCTATCTCTGACACTTGTATGGCGTTTACCATGTCACCCACCCTGGAGCTGTCCGATGCTGGGTGTAGACCTGCCTCCCTAGGGTACTAACGCACAGAGCAGAATAGCTAAAAAACCTCCGATTTGAGCTACATTTCGGAATTAAAACCAGAAAGTAAAACCAGACAGTTGTTGGAATGGTGGAAGTTTAATGAGCAGTATTAGCACGAACAGATCCTCACTAAACACGAGTGCTTTATAACTCTAGAAACTGGGGCAACCCACTTTTCTACAACATGTCTGTTCCATCTCTGAATTTTTGAATAATCTTTGCCCCGGAAGAAACCAGTCCAATGTTCTTAACAGAGGTGTGTGGGAATGAAAGCTCATCAATGTGGTGGATTTTGGGAACAGGAAGAGGTCTTTTGGGGGGGCAGCCTTTGTCTATATTTCCATTCTATCCTTTGTCTATGTTTCCACTCCCTTGTGTTTAAGCCATTGTTCTGATGCAATGGGAGGCAGGGTAATTACCTGCCAATTACTGGGATGGCAGCTATATCATAATCAGGACCATATGGACTCTGTGCTTTAAATATCTATACTACTGGAAATCTTTCTGACCCTTCCTCCTGCAATTGTAATAGTTTCTCAGGCGTTGCCTGGACATTTTTAAAGCCTGTCTTTGCTCCAGCACTCAAAGGATAGAGGAAAAGGGAGAGGGAACACCTAACAGAAGTCACACACCCTGATAATCACCTCCAAATTTTAGCAGAATGCCACCCTGTGACCTTCCAAAATATAGTAGCTGGTGTGTGTCTGTGTGTTTGTCACCTAAGGGAAGATGGTGAGACCCTTCTGTCATTTCTATAACGTGAGCATTGCTTCACAACCATGAGGACTTGAAACTTGCATCCTTCCCTGTAAAGAAAGCTGATATTTTCAGAATGAGCTCAACATCAAATTCTACATAGACACCAACCCATATATGCCCGTGAACCAAGTAGTTACTAAGATGCAACAAGACGTTTTGCCATCTTAATGTTTTGAATTCCAAATTCATCTTCTTGAAGACCAGGTTGGTAGTGCCATTATATTTCTTTCCTTTTTTGAGAGGTTGGAGCAATTTTGTTCCTCAAACCACTGAAATACAGGACATAATTGCACTCTTGGTGGGGGATCAACCGGAATGGTGGATAAGCTGATCTCACATTTTGCCCCTTACATTTTGTGTGTGAAAAAGAATACTGGATCTGTTGGTGAAAAAACGACAACACCAAATCCCAAATCCCAAATAAATAAGTCGTTTCCCCAAACATCACAGTGAAGAATGCACTCTCTGAAGAAGAAGAAGGAAAGAACAACTTGGATCCTTTAATAACCTTCAGGATCCTCTAAGGGATAGCAAGTGTACAGTTAGGGAAGGGGGGGTCTATCTCAGGGTCAGAGAACATGCTTTGCATGTCAAAGGTCACAGATTTAACCCTCAGCATCTCCAGATACAGCTGACAAATATGCTCATCCAAAAACCCTGGACAGCTGCTGCCAATCAGTGTTGACAATACTGAGCTGGATAGAACCAATAGTCTGTGTTGATACAAGGCAGCTTCCTAGGCTCTCTACGCATTTCAACAGACCCTCCATTTCCTTTTCTTTCGCTCCCCTCAAGTCCCACAGAAGAAAATGGTCCCTTCAAGGTTCTGCCGTCATCTTTGTAAAACAGATGGCTGTGGAATCCCTCCAGTCTTCCTCTGTCAGTCCATGCCGAGAGATGTAAGACAGCCTTGCTGGGTCATCCCACACAAACACACACACAACTCCAGGCAAACCTCTTCTGATACCGGGAAGTCCTTCCATGTCCTATGTGGCTTCTGATGCCTCCACAAGGAGGGGTTAAGAGGTATCTTTAAGCTCTGGGCTTTGAGGTACTGGTGGGGGCACCTCTGTGGCTGGCGACTGCATTTCTTGAGACCTGTCTGGGATTGGGGAGGGGAGGTGGGGAGAGGGTCAAGCAAAGAGACAAGATCAGCGAAGGAGCAGCCAGAAAAAATGTGCATTTCAATGAAAGATGCAAGGAGGGAACAAGGTTCCATCTCGGCCTGTGATGTTTCTATTCTGCTGCAATTTGGCTCCTGCTAAAACCTGTATCACGCATCTCACCATCTACTGCAGTGGAAACAGATTTTTAATTACGTAATTAATCTCTGTGGAGAATAAGGTTGTAGCTTGATGGTAAGGTCTAGGACACTAGGTTTAGGTTGCTGGAAGATTTAGGACATACTGTACTTAGTCAAACTATGGAATTTGCTCTCCCAGGAGGCAATGATGATGTCAGGGATTGGACTCAAGAGGGTGAGAGAGAGGAGGAATGGTGGAGATCAACCGCCCCCTTCTTCTGACGCTGAGGGAGAAGAGAAATGTAGCTTTGATTTACAGCAGGAGTTTGAGGAGTCTGAGGGAAGTCCCAACTCAGAGATAGGCGAACAAAAGAGTTGGGCAGTGTTAGAAGAAGGAGAGGGGGGAAGGACTGGGGCAGGGCAGCCAGCTGACATGTTGTCACTGGAAAATATTTCTGATCCCCCTTCTCCCAGAACACGACATTCATTAGGAGTAAGGAACAAAGGACTCAAAGGCATTTGACCACGAGTGGCCACTGTAACGGAAGGGGCTGTTGACAGGAAGGAGGGAGGAGGAGCCCAGTTTGGAGCAACACCATTGTTAAGGCTTGTTGCTTTCTTTTGTCTCTCCCTATTAGGTAAAGGTAAAGGGACCCCTGACCATTAGGTCCAGTTGTGGCCGACTCTGGGGTTGCAGCGCTCATCTCGCCTTCTTGGCCGAGGGAGCCAGCGTACAGCTTCCAGGTCATGTCGCCAGCATGACTAAGCCACTTCTGGCGAACGAGAGCAGCGCACGAAAACGCCGTTTACCTTCCCGCCGGAGCGGTACCTATTTATCTACTTGCACTTTGACGTGCTTTCGAACTGCTAGGTTGGCAGGAGCAGGGACCGGGGAACGGGAGCTCACCCCATCACGGGGATTCGAACCGCCGACCTTCTGATCGGCAAGTCCTAGGCTCTGCGGTTTAACCCACAGCGCCACCCGCGTCCCATGTCTCTCCCTATTAGGATGGAATAAAACTCATTAAAAAGGACTCTCCTTGTTTTCTCTACTCTTGCTGTAACCGGAGGAGGAATAGCTTTCCCGAAGCCTTGGCAGAGCCTTGGCAGATGACCACCAACTTGGATGGCGTTAAAACAGGATTAGACAAATTCATGAAGGAAGGGACTAGCAATAGCTACTACCCATGATATTTATGCCCTGCCTCCGCAGTTGTAGGTCTCAATGCTTTTGAATAACAGCTGCTGGAAACCATGCAAGGAGAGAGGGCTCGTGTGCTCATGTTCTGCTCACTGGTTTCCCTCAGGCATCTGGTTGGGCACTGTAAGATCAGGATGCTGGACTTGATAAGCCACTGCCCTCATGCAGCAGGCTATTTTTATGTCCTTGCACAAGCCGTTTGGTTTGCATGCAAGAAGTTGCAGGTTCGGCGATCTCATTACTGAGTAGGTTTTGTCAGGAGTTTGTCCTACACTCGAGTAGGACCCTGGCAGAGACACATGCCCGACTGGCATGTTCTCTCCCTCCTGGTCGATCGTTCAGGAGCTTCAAAAGCTTTTTTCTGCCTGAACATCACAGCGACCAATGCCAACAGACATTGGCACACTTAGGGATCCACAGAGTCTTCGCAGCTTGCATAACAGACCTCAGCAACTCAGCATTTTGGCTAATCTACTTTATTTACATATAAACACACACAGAGCAGTGCAACATGGCTCCCTCTCTCTCTAGCATCAGACAGCAAAGAGAGAAAGGACAAAGGACAATAGTCCCACTTCACGGAACACAGTAACACAAACGTCCTGTCTCCCTCACTTCCCACTCTGTGGAGTCAAAACATATACCGTCATGTGATAGACAACAACCCCATGACTGCATCATGGAGCAGGAATTCTAACAGGTTTCGGGTGTACTAGGGCCGTTCAAACCAACAAGTCCAGTATAACAGAGGAAGAATGTTAGGAGCAGATCCATTGGCCAAAGCTACCACTGACATGGGAAGCGTTAGAAAATAAGGCCAAAATCTACCTGAGTTTAGAGACATTTCCGCCAGTTTCATAGGCAAGTCAGTGGGAGTGACGCCGGACGGCGAGCCCAGAATATCCGGCAACGCGTTCCTTCGACCAGTGCGCCCAGATGATGCAAAATCTAACACAGGCTCCACCTCAGTCATACTTCCCCTGAAAAGACACACAGGAAGTTCCAAGTTAGGCAAGGGCCCCTATTGGCATGCCTACGAGATAGTAGAAAAAGCTTAAGTGAGCTAGATCCCCTGCCATGCAGATCTGAACAGCACCACAAGCATTTCCTTGCTCTGGAGATCTGCTCCTGTTAATAGGAAAACTCATCCTGACTGGGTCCAAAAGGCAGGGAGTTTGAAAGCTGCCACCCCCATAAAGGAACATAGGGAACTGACTTGTACCAGGGCAGACCCTTTGCCTATCTGGAAGGTAAACAGCGTTTCAGTGCGCTCTGGAAGTGGTTTAGTCATTCTGGCCACATGACCCAGAAAGCTGTCCATGGACAAACGCTGGCTCCCTTGGCCAGAAAGCAAGATGTGTGCCACAACCCCATAGTCACCTTTGACTGGTCTTAACTCTCCAGGGGTCCTTTATCTTTACCTAGCTTGCTGGGGCAGCAGAGCTGCGGTGCTAACTTCCCAGCATGTGGGTTGCAATTGCTTACCGCAGGGGAACCTTTTGGCCCTGCAGATGTCCCTGAGCTGCAAGTTCCATCAGGCCCAGCCAGCATGGCCAATGGCAAGGGATGATGGGAGTTGCAATTTGGCAACATCTGGATGGCCAAAGGTTCCCCACACTTGTGCTACAGCATCCCTAATAGTTGGACCTTTACTGTCTGCATAAAACCCTCCAACAAAGAGCTGTTGCAGAATGCAGCAGATTGTTGACTAAGGCACACCGTTGATACTGTGTGACGCCTCTGCTGAAGGAGCTGATCTGCCTGCCAAGATGCTAGCAGCACAAGTCAAGGTTTTGCTTTTAGCATTTAAGGTCCTTTCCTGCTATATCCCTTCCCAGCAGCCACACTCCTCAAATGGAGCACTGCTGAGAGTAACAAATGCCCCAGAGGTGTGCTTAGCCTGCACCAGAAACTGGGCTTTTAGTGTTGCAGCTCCAGCTCTCTGGAATCAATTGCCAGCTGAAATCAGACCGGTGCCTAGTGTGATGATGTTCAGGCGCAGACTGAAAACAGTTTTGTTTAGGGAATTTCCCTCTGAGGTGTAACCCAGTCATTTACGGAAGATCAATTCGATATATGATGTAACTGTTTTGAGAGTCTGTATGGGTGGTTTTTATTGTTTCAGAGTTTGTTGATTTTATTTTATTGTTCTTAGAGCTTTTGGATTATATTCAATTAAATCCTATGCAGAAGATAAAATGGTTTCTAAGCCGTTCACAACTCTGATCCATAATTAAAGTACACAAAAACATTGAAACATCTTTAATAAATAAAATATATGAGAAAGCAAAAAAGTTAAAAAGAACAATTAAAAAAATTAAGAAACAGTTAAAACAATAAAAAGACAAGTTCAGTTCAGGGGACTGCTTGCCCAGAGGTGTGTCTTGAGGAGCCGGCAGAATGCCAACACTGATGGCGCTGCTCATATTTCAGCAGGGAGGGCATTGCACAACACTGGAGCCATCAGGGAAAAGCTCACCTCTGTGTTACTACAGTCATCAGGCCACTGGAGCCAACTTCAGGGGGTTGGGGGTGCTTTGGCACCCACGATAATATATTTGTGGGTACTGGGCACCCTCCTCCCAAAGTAAATGGGCAAAGTTGAAGCCTTTCGTTGAACCACAATCTTCGGCATGAGATGGCACCTATGCATCAGACCATGGCAAAACTAAGCACATTCCAATAGCTCAGAGGTTTTCAGCCTTTTTGAGCCCATGGCTCCCTTGACTAACTACAGTGGTACCTTGGTTCTCTAACTTAATCTGTTCTAGGAGTCCATTCGACTCCTGAAACCATTCGAAAATCAAGGCGCAGCTTCCAATTGGCTGCAGGAGCTTCCTACACTCAATTGGAAGTCATGGAAACTGCATCGGATGTTCGGCTTCCGAGAAACGTTTGCAAACTGGAACACCCACTTCTGGGTTTGCGGCTTTCGGGAGCTGATTTGTTCAGGAGCCAAGCCGTTCTGCTGTACATGGAGTTTCTGCCGCATCCCTGTGGGGCTCAGGAGCCCAGTTATGTCACCTCTTCCCTGCAGAGCTGGCAGCCCCTCACCCCTTTTCATACACCCTCCCTTGTGGAGTGTTCCCTCAGCCTGCCCCCAGCCCCAAAGAGAGGTGCTTCCCAGAGGCACTATTCATCTGTGGGGCTTATAGCTAGGGCTACTGCAATAAATAGCTGTGCAAGACTTTGGGAGGCAGAGACACAAGAAGGCATGAGAGGAGGGAGAGAAAGAGGGACAGAGGCCAGTGTTGCCTGCAGCACCCCTGCCCACCATTCAAGGCACCCCAGGGTGCCACGTCACACTGGTTGAAAAGCACTTTATTAGCTGATTGTTGATGTGCCCCTGACTTGAGCTGACCTGGGATCCATCACCACCATTTCTCTTGTGGGCCCCAAGCCTCAGCAGAACAGGATAAATGGAGCCACCTGACTAAAATTACCCAGCATGCTCTTCTGATCTTCGATAGCAACCACACATCACGAGTTTTCTCTACAACATTGTTCTCTAGTAAGCCTCTTGGCTGGAAATGCTCACCCTGGTGAAACAGTGACATCTCCCCCGCCCCAAAAAAAGATGACTATTCAGCTTTTCTCCCCCAAACCATTGGACTCATGAACTGGAGTGCACTCTGTAAAACTGGAGGAATCCCATGTACTTTGTGACTCTTAAGGTCAGCACACACACACACTCATTACGTTTCATGGCGAGCAAATGAGCCATCACAGATGAGTTGCCACTGTTGAAATTTGCACCTCAAACACAAGGCTTTCTAATGGAGGAGATAACTCTCAGCCAAACATGAGAACTGTCAAAATATTGACTAATCAAGGTGACAAAAGTTCCACTGGTATCCAGGCGTATGTGACTCAGCTCTTAGAGCCAATTTAAGCTTTAAAGAGGCCATGTAGCATATGCTCCCACTGATCCTGTTTGCAAAGGATGGCTCCTATTATTGTTATTCTTACTAGAATTACTTTTTCTCTATTTTGCCTTTTCTGGGGTTGGGAATGCCATAATTATCTATATCTATATCTATATCTATATCTATATCTATATCTATATCTATATCTATATCTATATCTCTATATCTATCTATCCATCCATCTACACACACACACACACACACACACACATACAGTGTGTGTGTGTGTATATATATATTATCTATATATCTATATCTATATCTATATCTATCTATCATCTATATCTATATCTCTATCTGAGAATTCTTCATGTTTCAGCCCCGATGCCTCAAATTTCTAGAAGAATAAACTATGATTTTATCATTTCAACCAATTTTATCTTTACTGTATTGTTGAGTTTGATGGACACCACTTAAGAGACAATTGTGATTATGTTGCACATGCATTGCCTAAATAGATAAATAGGCATGGGGGAACCTGTGTTCCTCTACGTGTTGTTGGACTCTAACTCCCATTAGCCCCAGCCAGCATGGACAATGGTCAGGGATGATGGGAGTTGGAGTCCAACACTATCTGGAAAACCACAGGTCCCCCACCCCTGCTATAAACAGAAAGCAAGGCCTGGGGCAGGAGCAAATAAGCTGTTCCCCTCCCCCTGCTGACATGGGAGAAGGAGGCACTGCTTTCCTCTTCCCCTGAACCACCCTGCAAGCAGGAGGGTTCAGTCCTGCTGGGTGCTGCTTTGCAAATGCCTTCCCTTTGGAGAAGGTGCTTGTGAAAAAGTAAAGGGGAAAAAAGGGCAAAGGACCCCTGGACAGTTACATCCAGGCAAAGGTGACCACGGGGTTGCAGCACTCATCTCACTTTCAGGCCAAGGGAGCCGGCGTTTGTCCACAGACAGCTTTCTGGGTCATGTGGCCAGCATGACTAAACCACTTGTGGTGCAACGGGATACCGTGATGAGTGCCAGAGCGCACGGAAGCACTGTTTACCTTCCCGCCACAGTGGTACCTATTTATCTACTTGCATTGTTATGCTTTGAAACTGCTAGGTTGCCAGGAGCTGGGACAGAGCAGCGGGAGCTCACCCCGTCATGCGGATTCGAACCGCTGACCTTCCAATTGGCAAGCCCAAGAGGCTCAGTGGTCTAGACCACAGTGCCACCCGCATCCCTAACTTGTGAAGGAATTTCCTGTAGTCAGAAGCATTTTAATCCTTCTGGGGTTTTCTTCCTGCCACTGAGGAACCTACTGGAGAAGAAGCACCCTGGAAACAGCAGGATTGCAACCTACTCAAACCAGTTGGTGAGGGGAGAATTAAATCCTGCTGGGGTTTGCTGCATCTCTGGAGCTACATGTCTCTCCTTCCTCTCTGACAACACCAGATCTCTCCTTTTAGTGCAACCTAACTCTGGGAGATCATTATTTGGCCTGATTTGGTGTGCATTTTCACCAGATTTGGCGCACAGCCCTCATTTATAGCCTACTTTTCTTCCAGGCAGCTCAAGGTGGCATGCATGTCTCTCCCCCTCCCCATGTCTCTCCCCCCCTCCAGCAACTGTGTTAGGTTAGGTTGAGAAGCAGTGACTGGTCCAAAGTGGCCCAGTGAGCTTCATTGTGGAATGTGAATTTGAACCCTGGTCTCCCAGGTTCTAGCCAAGCGCTCCAACCACTACACCCCACTGACTCTTACATTTGCCAGTAGCAATACAATTGCCAATGTAGTGCTTACCTTTCAACCTCCCTCTCCCCATAATTGCATGTCCAGGCAGCAAATGTTGCTGCATGTGTTTTGACCTACAGCTGTTATCAGAACAAGTATAAACAGATCCAAATGTTCTACATACCAGCTTTCCCCAGCCTGATGCTCCCCCCCTGCAATGGTTTAGAAAACTCCCATCAGCCCAAATCAGCATGACTTGTGTAGCCAAAACAGCACCATCCACACCCACAAAATTACATATCAACAGGCTTGGGGAAAACCCAAGGTTTTCAGAAGGACAAAAAAAAAATCCTTAGAGAAAGGAAATCAAAGAGGACAAACCTCCCACCACCCCACAAATGGGGTCACTGAATGCTGACTGAATGCACGTGTGTGTGTGTGTGTGTGCGCGCACACACACACCTGCTCCCCCTGCTTCCTTTGCACCTAACCAAACCACTCTCCACCTGCACTGCTTCTTCACATGCCTGCCTGCCACCATGTTGCAGTTGGTTGGGCACCTTTTGGCAGTTGCACAAACTGCAGCGTGATGACCGCATTACGTTTTTATCTATATACAAAGATATGTATGTGTGCGCCCACACAAACATTTACCTGGATATATGTGCTACAAGAGTGCACCTATTTTCCACTGTTGAAACAACGGGACACACACACACACACACACACACACACACACACACGATGGTCAACCTGCTATGTGATTTATACACCTCAGAAACATATTGAGGAACTACATTTTTGGAAGTAGATCACTGCCCTGAATTTGGAAAGCTAACATGTCATGAAGGAGAAGCTAGAAATCTTATCTGCGCTCCAAAGTAGAGCGGTTATAAATTCAGAGGTGGCTTGTTTAATTGGCTCTCTTGGTTTAATGAGGATTAGTAGCAGGGGAGGAGAAGAATTCCTTTTCACAGCATGCAGCACAGGGATGCTGCTAGACCAGGAGTTGCTATCCTTTTAGGACCCACGGGCAAATTTGCAAAGCAGACAACCTATAGTCAACATGGGAGCTGTGGTTCAGTGGTAGAGCATCTGCTTTGCATGCAGAAGGTAACAGGTTCGATCCACAGCATCTCCAGGTAGGATTGGGAGAGACCTCTGCCTGAAACCCTGAAGAGTCGCTGTTAGTTGCTATAGACAGTGCTGAGCTAGATGGACCAGTGGTACGACTCAGTGTAAAGCACATTCCTATGTTCCTATCTTCTGTGCACCATATACACACCTCAACCAAACACACACAGCTCCCACTCCCTATTCTATTGGTTACTAATTTCAGTGGGGAGAGGTGGCCCTGTGGGCACCATGAAAGGCCTCTCTGGGTGTATGGGCACCCATAGAAACCACATTGGCTCCCCCCTGTGCTAGTTCCCACTGTTGAAACTAGAGTTTGCTCTGGAAAATTTCAGGCTGAAAAGCTGGAGAGAGAGAGAGAGAGAGAGAGAGAGAGAGAGAGAGAGAGAGGGAGAATAAAGTTTGTGGGACTTCATTTGGGCAGATGTAGGACACTGATGGGCAAGTGGTTTGTGAAACGTGGGATTCTGATGCCAAAAAGTGGGTGGATCTGGGTACTGGATCACATGAGCCCAAATGAGGTACTGAGAAAGACTGTGTGTGTGAAATAGGATTAAAATGAGATGATGCTATTGCTTGGTGCAGTTGCCTGTTCAGGAACATTGTACAGAGTCAGACCATTGCTTAGCATTGCCTCCATTGACTGGAAGCAGTTCTCCAGGATTTCAGGTGGGGTTCCAGCCCTACCTGGAATTGCCTGTGACTGCACCTGGGACCGAATGCATGCAAAGCAGATGTTCTTCCACCGGACGATGGTCTTTTCCATTTATATGAATGCTGGAAAATAGCAGGGACTTTGTGTCAAAATTATGCCACCCAATTCCATCTTCAGCTCTGATACCACAATCCCCTGTCTTTGCTCACCTCAACTTTCCAGCCTGATGTTGCAAGGAAGCACCTAATCACAGGAGACCTTCAGAAGCCAGTTTCCGAGGCTTCGCGCAATCAAAGCACCTGGGAAGACATGTTTCTCTACCAAATACATATGTAGGGAAGGCTCTCCGATTGCTTCACTGACACACCCCAAACTCGCCAAGCCGATATCGCAATCCACAACCACTGTGACTCCACTATGTGACTTGTGCAAATAGACAACAACTATAGTAAAGAGCCATCTGCTCGTATACTTGGCGAGGTTTCAGCTGGGCTCCTCCTTTTATCACCACCACCACAATGAGAATGTCAGTCATTCCACTTGGAGTATTTGTCACACACAAAAACCCTGCTAATGCACACATGGCTTCAAAGATGGAAATGACAAGTGAACATTTTTTTTTGCTTTTTAGAAAGTTTATTTTCTTTGCATTGCACACCCATAGTTGGCCATGGAAGCCAGCTCTCTCTCTCTCTCTTTTTCTATCTACACACACACACACACACACACACACATTCTTCTTCTTCTTTAACCGCCAATTATCTGGATTATCTGGATGGATAAATAATGCACTGATCCGTATATACATCCAGAATAGTAGAACCCATCGTAAGCCACCTGTAACACCTCCCCCCATTCCCTCCCAGATCCCTCCCTTTTTCTCTTTTCCTCCACAAACCATCCAGGCACCTCCACATCAAGGGCACAAAGCAGCCAGGCACACTTACCAGATGGACTGCTAAGAAATGGAGAGCCGGTTCTGCCGCTGTGGTGGTCTCCGGTGAGATCGGGGTGAGAACAGAATCTGCCTGTGGAAAGGGGTTTCACTGTGCCCAGACAGTCTCCACGGCCAACAAAAGCATCTCTCCGTGTGTCTCTCTCCCTCTCTCTCCTTGGCTGAACCGCTCTCACGATGCTCTGGGTATCAGCAGACTGCTAGCTGCCTGATTTGCCTGCCGGATCTACCAACCGCTTTGAAGGGGGAGACCTGGATACATTTCAGCTTCCCTCCCTGGCTAACCAGGCCTAGCAGTGGTCCATTTCCTTTCTCTTCTGCACTGTTTAGGAGCAGGGAAAGCAGGGCTTCTGCTTCTCCTACACACCCTGTATAAATCCCCTCTCTCTGTCTCCCCCCCCCCCGCCATTCTGCCTTCCTCCTGCTTTCCTGCCTCCCAGCTGGCACAACACTTGGTGCCTGCCTTTCTACACATGGCTATTTTGGAGCTGCCAGGGATGTGGATTAGCTTGTCTCTGGCAGTTTTTTTTAACCCAATGGCAGCAGCCATACCTCTTTTCCAAGGCTTTTGACAGGCTATGATGGTGTTTGTGGTTGGTTGTTAGCGATGATTTGTTGGCCCTGAAGCTTTCCTTACTGCCTTTATTGCTGGGGAGGGCTGCTGTGTCTGTAGATTTTTGTTCAAATAATGGTGGTAGTAGTACTAGTAACAACAACAACAGTAACAACCTTGATGACCTGTTGCTCAGGGATTGAAGTAGAAAATCACAGAATCATAGATTTGTAGAGTTGGAAAGTACCCTGCGGGTCATCTAGTCCAATGCCCTACAATGCAGGGAAGGATGAAGAGATATTATCACCATCTTCACCATCATCATCCCTATTTCCCAGTTATTTTCACAGAGAAGCTGGTTGGCAAATCTACTGCTGTGCATCTTTGCTCCTTTCAATGGGAGCTGCCAAAGTTATTATGTTTTTAGATCTGCCGTAAGCTGCCCAGAGTGGCTGGGGAAACCCAGCCAGATGGGCAGGGTATAAATAATAATATTATTAACAGTCACGACTTCCCCCAAAGACTTATGGGAGCTGTAGTTTGTTAAGGCTGCTGAGAGTCATTAAAAAGGTAAAGGGACCCCTGACCATTCAGTCCAGTCGCGGACGACTCGGGTTTGCGGCGCTCATCTTGCTTTATTGGCCGAGGGAGCTGGCGTACAGCTTCTGGGTCATGTGGCCAGCATGCTTCTGGTGAACCAGAGCAGCGCACGGAAACGCCGTTTACCTTCCTGCCGGAGCAGTACCTATTTATCTACTTGCACTTTGATGTGCTTTCGAACTGCTAGGTTGGCAGGAGCAGGGATCAAGCAACAGGAGCTCACCCCGTTGCGGGGATTCGAACCACCGACCTTCTGATCGGCAAGCCCTAGGCTCTGTGGTTTAGACCACAGTGCCACCTGCATCCCTGCTGAGAGTTGTTAGGAGGCCCCTATTCCCCCCACAGAGCTACAATTCGCAGAGTTCACTGGGAAGAGTGATTGATTGTTATGCCACTCTGAATATTTTAGCTGTGGGAAGAGAATGTGGGAGTCCCCTAACAAGTCTCAGCACGCTTAACAAACTAGAGCTCCTATAAGTCTTTGGGAGAAGCCATGCCTACTTAAACTGGTATGATGCTGCTTTAACTGTGCAGTGTGAGCAGGGCTGTCTGATGTGTATTGGGGAGGTGTTCTAAGGGGTAAGTGCCACTGTGCGAAAGTGCTGATTCCTACATCATACGGAATGGACCTCCTGATGAGATGGTATCTGCAGGAGGCCCTTTCCAGCAGTGATTGGTTGAGTGTATAATGAGTGTATAATGAGTGAGATCATCTTTTAGGTATCCCGTTCCAAAGCTGTATAGGGCTTTGTACACCAGTACAGTTTGAACTTAGCTAACTGGTAGCCACTTGAACCTTTCTCCCACGCTAGTTGATGGCACATCAACTCCCAATACACCTGAGGGCTGCAGGCTGGCTTGCAGCTCTGCCCACCCAACTGCTCCCTATTTCACCTCCGCCTACAGCTGCATTCGTCTATCAAATGGCAGCCCTGGTTTTCACTCTAAGGCTCAAGGTCTCAGGGCCCCAGGGCAGCAAGTGTAAATCTGAATCTAGACCCTGTCCAGCAGCTAGGGACCTTCTGAACTGGAGACCCCTCCACAAGGATCCCAAGGGCCTCCTGTACTACTGAGTCTGTGCACAACTGAAGACTTAGCAGAGATGTGACAAGAGTCAAGCCAGAGGACCACCCCTTCAAGTATCTGCATTCTTCAGCAATAGGGCAGAGCCTGGGAAAGGTAATCAAGCTGGGGAAGAATGCAAGAACCCAGCTCTTGTTGGACAAAGTTGTCTCTTTCATGGGACCTGTCCAGGGTTCTGAAGCTGTCTCTGACCACTCTTGTTTCCAGAGTCTGGTTCTTGACCAGTTGCTACTCTGTCTCTGCTTGTTGGTCCTTTGTTCCTCCAGACTCTGCCATAGCCAAGACAGGACCCACTTTGGGTACCCCCCTCTTTTTCTCTCTCCTCATTGCCATTTAGTTGTATTTAGGTTTTTGTAGGGGTTGTTTTATGAGAAAAGAGAGAGAAAACCCTAAAACTGGGATGCAATCCATCTTAGATGATTGTGTGCATTTGTGTGTGTATCCCTTTATGGCCCCCAGTCAACCAAATGAAGACCTAGTACTAAAGTAGGGAAAGTCTTAAAGGGGACAAAAAGATAGCTCACCTCTTGTGGTTTTCTAACTAAATGCTCTCCTTTGCACTGCCAGAGTCCATGGCTGATGAAACAGGCTAAGCCTTTTCATCCAGAAGAGTTTCTTTCAGTAGGTGGTCAAGCAAATCACCCAGACTGAGCTGCAGCCTTATTTAAGGCTCAGCCTGAGGTTACATGTTGCTGAAGCAACATTCTAAAATAGCTTCGGTTTGTGCGTCATGTGGAATGGTCAGTCCTGGCTGCACCATGTCTTGCCTAGGATCTTCAGTCTTCTTAGCTGCTTGGAGCAGAACACTAATAAGGAATCCTGAGGAATGCAGGACCCTACACTGGTACAAAGTAACTGTTAAGTGCAGTGCCCCATTCTCAGCAACGCTGGAACTGGGTGAGAATGGTGGAGGCAGTGGAGCTGTCCAGCAGGACTAGGTGCAATCTCCAGGACAAGGCTATTAAGAGCTGTCCAGCCAGGATGCTAGTGTGAGGCCAGAGAGAGACAATGGTCAGAAAAGGCATTGTTCCAGCAAGATCTAAGCTGAAATAAAAGGAGTACATAGCTGGTCCTATAGCCCCATCTCTTCAGGGTACACTTTTAGGCTGTTCCTTTTCACAGTTAAAAGTCTTTCCTAGTGCCAACAACAGAAAGGCCCTATCCTGTGTGGTAGAAACGCCATCATCTAATGCTTGCTTCTGGTCAGGCTTGTTGAGGTTGATGTTCCTTAGAAGGTGATCTTGCAAGGTCCTGTATTGAAATGGCTGCTGTTCAAAATTCAGCCCGAGGGCTGAAATCTTTTGTGGGCAACCTTCCAAGGGCCACATGCCTGTGGGGGGGGCCCAGATGTGCCCCTTATCTTTGTTCAGGAGTCCAGCCATTCAGAATTAGAGGCTTCTGCACACATATCCCAACACACATTTGTACAGTTCCAGGGCATGTGCCAGCCAGGCTAAAGAACTGGAGGAGGCTGTGGATCAGGGCTGGTAGGAGAAAAGGCACAGTCTGCGGAGAGTCCTGAGGCTCAGATAGAAAGGCCTGGAGGGCCATTTCTGGTACTGGATATAAGCTTCCCTGCATTAAGAAAATACCATTTTTTAAAATACTGGATGTCAATGCAGCTTGAGCATGATGGAAGTTTATCTGTTGTAGTACTTTTCAGCTTGTTAGTCTTTTGGTTTATTGCAGGAGTAGGGAAGCTGTGGCACTCCAGATGACTCCAATTCCCATCAGTCCCAGCCAACCTAATCAGCAGCCAGGGATGATGGGAGTTGTAGTGCAACATGACCTAGAGGGCCATGTGGTCCCAAGCCTGGTCTGTTGCTTCGGTGGTGGAATTGTGCTATTTCTTTCCTTGGTCTCTCTGTTCTTGCATTTTTAAGTGTTAGTTCACACCAGCTATATATAGTATTGACAGTGGTAGGAGCTGTGGCATGTATTTTAATTATTATAAAAATGAGAACATTAAAAACAGAAAACAAACACAACTTCAGATGCATCCCAATGGATTCACTTTTCCAAATAGGATTTAATCCTTCTCCATCCCTGGAATCTGATGTCAGTGCCATTTCTTACTACTCTTCCCGACTTTCCTAAAAATATCATTGCAGGTTTTTAGGCAGAGGTTGGATGGCCATCTGTCATGGATGCTTTAGCTGAGATTCCTGCATTACAGGGGGTTGGACTTAGGTGACTCTGGAGGCCCCTTCCAACTCTACAATTCTATGATTAACTCAAGGTGGCATGAATGGTACCATCTGCGCATGGTCTTCTCACAACAACCCCGTTAAGTAGGCTAAGCTAAGATGTAAGGATAGTGTCAGGGACTGACTGGACAGTGAGCAGTGGTGGCTGGATACTGAGAGTGTGTGGGCACTGAGAGAAATGGGGTTGAAGACTGTCTTGGAAGAAGAAGGGATCAGTGATCTGTTACTGCAAGGAGATGAGAGTCAGAGGCAGGAGAAGCTGCAGGGCTGGAGAGAACAGGTACAGGAGGAGAGACAGAGAGAGAGGTCAGGCTGGTGTAGGGTCAAGGGCTTTCACACCTCCTCCTTCTGCCCCTGCCTCCCAGGACCAAGCAAGGATGGAAGAGAGAGGAGCAGAAGCAGGTTACACACAGACAGTGTCTTCACCTACTCGTGTGTAGCCTGGGTGGGGGACTTACATAAGCTGAGGTCAGGGGCAGGGCCTCTCTGTTGCAGCAACTGCCTCATCAAGTTCTCATCTATGGGTAGCTGAGGGACATTGGATTGGTGGACGTGCCTTTCCGTAACTTACACAAGTGTACTTTTGTCAATGAATAGTTAATTCCTCACTCTGGGCATTCTTTGCCTGACAGCTCTGTGACACACAGGCCAGACATATAGTGACCTTTGGTGCCGAATGGGAATCTGAACCTAGGTCTCTGTAGTCCATGCCTGAAGGCTAGATCACAGTAGCTCTCCCACTGGTAATCACAGGGAGCAGCCTAAGACCTGGAGAGCATTCTTTTTTTCTCGATGACTGCAATAGTGGGGTTCAGTTTGAGCAGTTGTGGTTGGTGCCCTTTGGGACTCAAAGGGCAAAAGGCAGAAAGACCAACAGTAGGGGGAGTCAGAGCCAACAACAGGCAGTACCAGCCAATCTTAGCACTTTCAGCTGTTTTATTTATTTAGGCAATGCACATGCCACTTAATCACAATTATCTCTAAGCAGTCGGCATCAAAGTCAGCCATACAACGTGGATAAAACCAGGCAAAAGCCATATAAAATCTGATCTAAACTGTGCAAACTGAGCAGGGTAACAGGATGGGGGCTTGCTGGAGCTCTCTTTCTGCAAAACGTCCATCCCCCCATCTGCCAGCACCCACCACCCACAGATCTAGCCATGAAATTATGTGGCATGCTGCCCTCTTTTCCAGCACAGAGGAGGTGCCAATTCGCAGGCGAAGCTCCAGCGAAGTTCCCATCTGTAATCAGAGGCTGCTTTCACTCTCTCTCCTGCTCCCTCCCCCAGCCCTGCTCAGTCCAAAGGATTTACTTAAAGCTCCTGGTTATTTTTCATCCCTAACTGCTGTTACACTGACATCCTTAGATGCTCTGCTGGCTCCAGGCAACTCGCTAACCCCTTTCACAGGGATCTAAATATAGACCTCAGCAGCTAAGCAGAATTCACTTAGCAGCTTGGCTGTTTGGGGGCTGTGTTGGATCAACACTGGAACAATCTCCCTTTGGGACGTGATGGGAGGTGGCGGCGGGGAAAAAACTCTGTGCGGGAGGCGAGATGAGGACCACCACCAGAGTCAATGGCATCCCTTTTCTATGCTTTTGTTTTACATCTCGCATTGACTTAAACTCTCACTTTTCTCTCTCGGCCAACCCGGCCTGAGATTCTGCCTTTCATTTGGTTACTGCCAGATCTATTCCAGTTCAATGCTGTAAGCCTTCCTCTTTATTACAACACACTGGGTGGGGGAGGGGGGATGCAATAAAAAGTACCATAAGCGCCTAATCCCATGGCTCTGCAACCAGCATAGTGCAGTGGCTGTTGGTGCCTATTGTGGCTGGTAGGGCAGAAGGCAAAGAGGTCAACAGTAGGTGGAGTCAGAGCCAATGACGGGCAAAGCCAACCAATCCTAGTCTCCTGCCTATCCTCCTCCATGCTGCATTATGGGAGATCAACACTGAATCATAGAATGTAGAGTGGGGAGGGACCCCTAGTCCAACTCCCCATACAGTCATACCTCTTGTTGCATTTGCTTCACGTTGCGGCTTTTCATGTTGCGAACGGCACCCTGGAATGGATCGTGTCCGCAACTAGAGGTGCCACTGTAATGCAGGAATATGCAGCTGTCCCATATGGGTATCGAACCTGCAACCTTGGCATTATCAGCACCATGTTCTAACCAACTGAGCCATCTGCTGAGAACATGAAAACATAAAAACAGCCTGCTGGATCAGGCCAATGGTCCACCTATTCCAGCATCCTGTTCTTACAGTGGACAACCTATGGAAAGCACATAAGCGGGGCCTGAGCTCACTGGCAGAGGAAGAGGGGGGCAGGGGGAGACGACCTTGCGTCAGGAGACGACCTTGATGATGGAAGTTACCAGAGCACAGCAGCAAACAAATGAAATTCAGTTAAAGGCTATACAAGCATATGAACCTGCTGTAGTGACGGAGGCTTCAGAGATGGAGGGACCTTTGGACGGGCAAGATCAGCCTTTGAACTTGATAAATGAACTTGGGACAAACCAGATTCGGAAAGATGAAATGTGGTCAGATTTGGAAATGGGGGATGGATCGACCCCTCCATATGGTTATTTGGACCTTCCGAGTCTGGTGATGGGCTATCAGAGGATTGGAGTAGCCGAAGTCTCCAAGCTTTGTGGAAATTTGAAGTGGTATTATTTGCTGTCTGGCTTGGGCAATGGGTTTGGGATGGATTTGTTGCAAAGGGTCAAAAGCATTTTTTTGCTGGAGCATCCACGACTGGAAAGGAATCATCAACAAGAGTGGCGAAAGGGGCAAGAAAGAGACTTGAGGGCCTCGGACACAAGACAACCAGGTTAAGGAGCCGGATTACCGAGGTTAAAAGGACTGACAATCCCGGGTCCAGGGGAGGGGAGGTTGGAAGCTGACTGGACTGAATTTGACTTATTATTTTTCTTTTTACTTTTTAATATTGGGAATGCTTACAAAAGTTTGAAGGATGTTGAATGAAATTACATGACTTAAGTAAGGATTGGTAAATGATTCGTAAAAAGGTAATGATGCAAGAATTAGGTAAATATTGAATATAAGCTATGAGTTTTAAAGTTTTTATATGACAAGAGGGAAAATAGAATAAGGAAACGTAATGACAGATTGTTATGAAAAACAGAAAGGATTTGCTGTAAAAGTTAAAAATTAAGAAACAAAAGAGGGGAGGAGGAGGAAGTCTAGAAAGGAAGTCAATAGAGATTGTAAAGGACTTTATATTTTTGTTTCTCTGTTTCTCTTTTTTTTCTTCTTTGCGGCTGGGTTTTCTTTCTTTTTTTTTTTTATGCACTAATTTTGTTTTTTGTATCCTTAAATTTTTTTCTGGAAATTTTTGTTGTTATTTTTTGAAAATTCAATAAATATCAACTATAAAAAAAAAAGAATGTAGAGTGGGGAGGGACCCCTAGTCCAACTCCCCATACAGTCATACCTCTTGTTGCATTTGCTTCACGTTGCGGCTTTTCATGTTGCGAACGGCACCCTGGAATGGATCGTGTCCGCAACTAGAGGTGCCACTGTAATGCAGGAATATGCAGCTGTCCCATATGGGTATCGAACCTGCAACCTTGGCATTATCAGCACCATGTTCTAACCAACTGAGCCATCTGCTGAGAACATGAAAACATAAAAACAGCCTGCTGGATCAGGCCAATGGTCCACCTATTCCAGCATCCTGTTCTTACAGTGGACAACCTATGGGAAGCACATAAGCGGGGCCTGAGCTCACTGGCAGAGGAAGAGGGGGGCAGGGGGAGCGCACCGCCCCCGGCAGCACAATCCCGATGGGGTGCCATCGTGGCTGCCCCCCGCCTGTGCTGGGCGTCACGCCCCCGCAGGCAACGTGCCACACCCCAGGATGCACACCACACCCCCAGGACACGCGCCACACCCCCGGGACACACGCCAGCCACAAAAATCTCCAAATGGGTCTGAACTTCAATGTCTAAAACTCCTGGTAAAGGAGAAGGATCCAGAGATCACGCTAAGGGTGGCCAAATTCTGTGCGACTGTCATAAAACTCAGGGAACAAGCTGTACTACCAAAATGATTAAGGTTTTAAATGACAATTTTAGGTTATATTTTAGTGATCAAGATTTTATATATATTTTTAACTGCTATATCTGTATTGTCTCTGTTATACCCAATTCAATTTATTCCTGTTGTGTTTTACGATTTTCCTGATATTGTAAGTGAGCTGGAACTGGTCTGTGACCGTAATAATAAAATTCATTCATATGTATTCATTTACGCCAGCCACGCCCCCTCCTGCTCTCTGTCCCCCGGTGCCAGAGCATGAAGCTCCGCCACTGCCTGAGCTCAACAGCACTCTGCCCACCTGTGATTCTCAGTAACTGGTATTAAGTGTCATGCTGCCTCTTACAGTGGAGGTGGAATACGGCCATAGCAGAAAGTAACCACTGATAGCCTTATCCTCATTGAATTGTCTAGTGCTCTTTTAAAGTGATCCAAATTGATGGCCATCGCTGCTTCCCATGGGAGTGAGTGCCATCATTTAACTATGCTCTGCAGAAGGTACTTGATTTTATCTGTCCTACATCTTCCAACCTCCTTAGATGTCCATGAAGTCTAGTGTTATTCGAGGAGTATAAAACTTTTCTCCAGCTGTGTTCTCCATGCCATGCCATATACAGGCTGAACAGAAGATGGAAGGGCTCACGGCATCAACTCTTCTAACGGTCTTGCTCCCCACTGCAAGCCATATCTTTGGATCCAGCACAGAAAGCAAGTCATGCTTCTTGGTCTCTTCCCAGTTCAGGACAAGACTGACCACAGGTCTATTGTTCTCTACTTCCTGCCCCCTTTAGCCCACCCTCCTGAAGCACTTCCAGCTTGTAATTTCTGTGGCAACCATCCCCTGTACTCATGCAAAGGGATACCTAACACTTGGCTAGAGACTGGATTGACCACTTGTCTCCCTCCCTCTCTCCAGAATCCCATCCTACGGATATAAAACCACAGGCTTGGAGAGGACCCCAAATATGGCCTCCAGATTAATGTACTGATCAACTGACAATGTGCAAACTTTTAAAGTTTTCTGAAATGGTTAAAAACGAGGGGGAAAACGTATTTATAAAAAACTGCAGAGAGGAAAAGTGCCACCTAAGAAGAAGTGGTACTTTTGAACAAACACCTGCACCCTCAACTTATGTGGGCATTATTCAAAACCAAAGGAAGAATGCTATTCTCTTTGGAACTTTTCTCTCTTCCCATACGCAGATTTTATTCATGTCTATGCAGGAAGGGCTGTGGCTTAATAGTAAGGTATCAGGTCCCAGATTCAGTCTTCTGCATCTGCAGGTGGGGCTGGGTATGTCCTCTGCCTGAAACCCCAGAAAGCCTCTGCCAGCCAGTGTTGGCAATGCTGAGCTGGATGAATGAATGAATGAATGGCATGACTTGGTATAAGGCCATGGGCACAGCTAGGATTCATATTGAAGGGGGTGGGGCAGGACACCCACCTGTCATCGTCCAGATTCAGCATGAAATGTCTCAACAACAGTTGTTTTAAATTGCTTTCTTTTGACGCCCAAAAAAGCCTGTCAAAATCTTTCTACAATTTCTACTCTCTGTTAAGTATTTTTATTTATTTACTTGATGCCCACGCCCACACCCATATGGTTCCTATACTCTTTGGTTATTAAAAATATGTGTGTGTCTATACAGAGACTTTACCTATACCAGTTCTTAACATAACCATGCAATAAAATAAAATCCATCGATGCAGGCTCGTCAATGTGGACTTCTTGAATCAAGGGGTCAGCCCTAGAAGGAATAAGGGAAAAGACCTCGCGGGGTGTCGGCTGTTGGGCTGCACGTGGCTGGGCGCTTACCCCGGTGCAGGGGGCCAAGCGGCACACCTTGCAAGATGACGTCATACGGATCCAGCCACCTCGACCCCAAGGCGACAGCAATGACGTCACCACCCCAGCTGAGTGGGGCCAGCTGCTCCTGCAGGGCCGGGCAGATCCCTATTCCGAGCATTGTGAGGAATCACCCCGTGCGCGACGCCGTGCCAAAGGCCGGCAGCCTCTTCCCGGTCCGCCCCGGCGCTTCGACGCACCTGCCGCGACTGCGAGGCTCCTCCTGCCGGCCGGCGTCTGGCGCGTCCCAGGTGCGCTCGGCGAGGACTGCCAAGCCCCGCCCCGCCGACTCAAGAGGGAGGGAGGGAGGGGGCGCGACTACGGCCAGGCCTTCCCGAGCGTGGGCGGAAAGAGCCGAAGAGGTGGGCAAGAGCCGGAACGTGCCGAGGAACCCCGAGCGGCTTCGGCAGGTAGTCCGGGGAGGTCGAGCCGAGGAGGCAACTTTGTCGGGATCTGAGCCGGACGGTGTTGCGTTTCGGGGGCCAGCGGCGTCATGGGAGCGTGCCTCGGGGTCTGCTCTTTGCTGAGCTGCGTGAGTGCCTTTTGCAACTTCTTTAAATATATAGATTTATAAGAAGAAGAAGAAAATTCTTCGAGGGGTGGGGTGGCGGAACTAATCGTTCTCTGGGCTCTTGGGTTGGGTCAGGCGTGCCTTCGCCTCTTATTTCTGCTTCGATGGCTGCTTTTAGTGGAATAAGGGCTGAGCCGCAGCCGGATTGGGGGTTGACAGCCCAGCTCTGCTTTTCTTCGGAGACACAAGTCCCATTTTGTTCAGCGTCTCAACTGGGCAAGCCTTTCTTTGTTCGCCTTTTAAAAAAAAATCGCTCTCCCTTTTACGCATTGCCTGCCCCTTCCGTCCCCACTCCCCAAATTGTGGATTTTATAGTATATATTTCTTGTCATTCTATTTATTATTCTGATGAGAATCATAAACTCTGCCGTTTACAGACTGACGATCACGCTCCTGTCTTTACTTCCTCTTGGAAAGCGTTTGCTCAAAGGACCGGCAGGTCTTTTGAAATCTTGGGCATACTCAAGCAATGCAATCCTGGTCGTTTATTTCATAAAATTTGTGCACCACTTGGTTGGGAAAAGAAAGAAAAGAAAACCCTCAAAGCGGTTTACGAACAAGTAAAACAAGGGAATCGAGGAAAAATGTACAGTTGCACTTAAAAGCCCACAAAAGTTAAAATGCTAAAAGAGATTAAAATTGCCTCAACTTTCTAAGCATCTGCACAAGCTGGTCTAAACTATCATGGTTTTAGCAGGCATCAGAAATAAACATCTCTGGCTGGGAGTAAACTCTGTAGAATTCAATGAGGCTTGCTCAAGAGCAAGCAGTGAGAGGATCACAGCCACTTCTAAGCATGTTTCCTTGGACAGAAGTCCTGTTGAATTCAGTGGGGCTTACTGCCAGGTAAATGGGGGTTAGGATTGTGGCCCAAAGTTTAATTTCTTCCAGAGACCCCGAAGGCAGCAATGGCTACCAACCTAGATGGCATTCAAAGAGGACTGGACAAATTTGTGGAGAAGGCTATTACTGATGGCTACTAGCCACAATGTCTATGCTCTGCCTTCACAGTTGAAGGCAGTAATACTTCTGAATACTAAAACCACAGGAGGGGAGAGTGGTTTTGTTCTCAAATCCTGAATGGAGGTTTCCCATAGGCATCTGGTTGAGAACAGGATACTGGACTTGATGGGTCACTGGCAGGATCCAACGGTCTTCTTATGTTCCTCACCTGGTAGCTGAAGAACCACACACAAGTTGTGGCTTGACTACTGCAAATAGTTGCACATCCATAGTCCATACCACCAGTTTCCTGTCTTTCTTATTCTTGTGTTTGCTTTTTTAAAAAAGACAGTCAGACATTTAAGTTGCTTTTAACGTTATGGTTCTCTGTGTTATTGTGTCTATAAATTTGTTCTTAGAATTATTTCATGCAAGCCACATTATGTTATGGGGTGGCATGTTGTCAATGCTGTAAAATAAATGTGCAGAAAGAGAACATGCGATCAGATGCAAAGGAAGTTGTTTGTTTCCTTTTTTTTAAAAAAAAAATTAATTTAAAATAAATACATTTGAGAAAACAGACATACATACAAGTAAACAAGCATACAACCAGACAAACAAATAATGTTTCCTTTATCCATATGAGTGGTGTGGATTTTGAAGTAAAGTCTTCAAGCTTTAAGAGCCGAGATCCACCTTAAACCATTTCGGGATCTTTCTGCATCAGGTCCATCAAAAGCTCTCCCTCCGTGTGCTTTCTGGACTAGAACTCCCATTATCCTTGGCCATTGGGACATAGCAAGCACCTTACACCGAGTCAAACCATCTAGCTTGGTATTGGCTACACTGACTGGCAGAGACTGTCCAGGGTTTCAGGCAGAGGGATGTTCCAAGGTCTGCTAGGAGATGCTGGGGAAATTGAACCTGGGACATTCTGTAAGCAGGGCAGCTTCTTTGCTCTAGAGATGTAGCCCTTCCCCTGCCTTGGGCTGATGGCAGGTGGAGTCCGCCAACATCTGGAAGGCTGTAGGTCCCCCACCTGCACTCTAAAGAGAGGAGGAGAATAATGGCATGGATGATAATGAAAAATCTTTTTGCTCCCTTGTTGCAGTTTGGGGTTTGAATGCAAGTCTGAAAGATTGATGCATGTGAAAGGTTTTGCATCTTGCACTCTCCAAGGCTGGATAGCTTCTTCCTCCAGGAACAACATTTATGTAATAATTGATCTCTGGTCATGCAGTTTGTGTGCACCTGCCTGCAATGTTGCTGTTTTGTTTTGACCTGCCTACACCCAGGAAGGTAAAACCGGGGGTGTTGCTGGGAGGAAGCAATAATTCATAATATAGCAATTAGATAGGGTTTCTTGCGTGTGTTTGCATATTTGGGCTGCATTTCTATACATTATTATTATTATTAATTAAAATTCTGTACCGCTCTTCATCTGAGGATCAAGGGTGGTTTACAATATAAAAACACAAAAATACATAACATAGTAACAACCAAGAACAACACCTTCCTACTTATGTGGAGTTAGGCCAATTGAATTCAGTGTACCTACTTTTGAGTAGACATATACAGGATTGTGCTTTTAGCATCAGTATTTGAGAAGCATTTAACTCACAGGTCACTCAAAAAAAGTTGACGTTCTTCCCAAATTGAAGAATTTTTACTATTGCCAGGAATCTGGTCTTGTTAAAATCAGAACAGGTAGTTCTCAGTCTTTCTTCTCCATAGCCCACTTGGAAATTGCTGAGGGTCTTGGCAGACCACTTAATTCACTGTGTTAAATGCTGTATGATTTTTTTTTTTAATGGATATTTATTGTTGCTTTTATTTCTTATGTGTTGTGTATTACAGTCTGAATTGTAATACATTGAAGTGCAATATAAGAAATGAAAGAAGCAATAAAAATGCAATGCAAAATTTATACGATGGATTGTGTGATGGATGTTGCAATCTCCTGCCACAAATCCATCCATGGACCACCTGAATGAAGCTCATCAACTACTGGTGGTCCTTGGAACTACATGGATCAGATTTTATTGATAGTGACAGTAATTGCAGTGTGAAACCTATTGCATTTTTGTAGTTCTTTGGGTGCATGTATGCATGCAGTAGAGGCTGGTTTATGTGTCCTAGGTTGTAAGTTATTAGGGAGCGGAGATTTTTCTATGTTGCCCATGCCACTCTGTTAGGCCCCATGTATACAATGGCTACTGCTGCTGCTATTATCATCATTAAATTTTTCAATAACAAACAGCAACTTTTGTAGCTTCAGAAACAAGCTTGTGATTGATGCTGATTACATGTTGAGGAAGATTAGCCTGGTGGCCACAGAAAATTTCCTTTGAAGCCAACCACGTTTGTTGCAGCTTAAATTTACCCACAATCTAAAATAAAAAATGTAGAAAATCCATCTCTTTAGTGGTACCCATATTTTTTATTTTCTCTTTTTTTGGGGGGGGGGGATTTCCAAGCATCCTTTTGATAAAAAGTGTTCCCAAAGCAAGGAACGGCAATGAAAAACAAGATGTGGTGGGCTGGATATAGATTAAGGATGCTGCGAGTGGGGAAGGGCAATAGTAGCTTAGTGGTAGAGCATATGCTTTGCATGCAGAAGGTCCCAGGTTCAATCCCCAGCATCTGCAGCTGGTTCTGGCCATAGCTGTCAACCGTCCCTTATTTGGCGGGAAAGTCCCTTATCCCAGCACCGTGTCCCGCTGCTGTCCCTTATTGATGATGTCCCTTAAATTTCCCGGGTTTCAAAGGAAGTAGCTCCTCTCCCTCCCTGCCTCGGCCAGAGAGGAGGAAGGCTCCAACTGTGTTGCTTGGCTGTGTTGCTCACCCAATAAGGAGTCTAAGAACGACCAGGGGGTGGAGCTTGCATGCCTTGTGCCAATCAAATCGGCTGCATTGCCTGGGGACTTGCCTTTGCACAGCGCTTCCCAGCGGAGAGGTGACGGTGGTTTTCCTTGCTGCATCCTCTTTGCCGGGTTGCTGCGCTGTGGGAACCACCACTTGAGGCTTCGTTCGGCTGCTGGCTGGGCTTCCTGCCTTTGGCTTGGAGGGGCTCAGAAGTTGAACATACCTGTGCTCGCAAAATCCCTTATTTTGGCTGCTGATCCCTTATTTTCAAATGTAAGTTGACAGCTATGGTTCTGGCAGAAAAAAAAACTTGTCGGAAATCCTGGAGATCTACTGCCAGTTGGTGCACACCAGTCTAGACCTAAGCTAGTCTAGACCTAAGACCCACCTCAAACTCCCAACTGGGAACTTGTAGCCCACTTCCACATCTTCACTTTTGATTTACTACATGATGGCATTTCACCACCTATCACATGCTGGCATACTATTCCCTCTCCCTCAATACAAGTGAACCAATGTTTCCTGTATTGTTGATCAGACTTTTGAGCCCTTTTAGTAGCTGCGTCCTCTTTTGATTCTCGGTGGGTTTTTTGCTTCCGCTCTCCAACGAAGCTTGTGGTTGCTGTTGAGGAAGAGGGGAAGTCAACATCACCACGGGTGCTTGTGTTTTGTTAGCACGGAAGCCTTTGCGTCGCAAGGCGAAGCCATTTGCCTTGGGAGGCAGGTCCAACACCCTCCCTGCCCCTACCATGGTGTTGCTGCTAGCCCTGTGGCAGCTTTGCCCATGCCACTTCTGCTGCTGCCACAGCACCCTTGTCCTCAACACTGCACCCTCGCCGTTACGCCAGGGCGGCAACATAGGTGCAGCCACGGGTGAGGGTGTAGCCTCAGGGGTGGGGCTGGTAGCAGTGTGGGCATGACTCCATGGGGGGAGCCCCCAGATCTGCTCTGGGGTGGTGGGGAGTTTTGCCTGCAGTGGCAAAACAACTTGGACTGCCTCATCTAACCCTTTCCACAAATTTCACAGCCTGTGTTCTTTCTGTGTCACCAGCAACTGCCTTTTTTCTCCTACCTTCTTTCACTTTTTGTCCTCCATCACCTATCTTGCCTTTGTTTTTACTCCTCTCGCCTTTCACCTTCCCTCTGCCGCCTCTTTCCACCCTCTCAGTCCTTTACCTGCTTCCACTTTCTCACCTATTCCCACAATCCTTTCTGCCACCAGCTATGTTGCCTCTTTCTCTCTTCTCATGCCTTTTCCCACCTTCTCCTTAGCGCCTCAAACACTTCTACCCTTTCTTTCTTTTCACCTGCTTTCTTTCACCTGCTGGTGTTGCCTTTCTGCCTCCCTCTCACATTCCCCTTTGGTCGGCTCACTTTCTTCCACCTTGTATCGCCTTCGCTGCCACTTCGGTTCACCTCCCTGTGCTTTTGCCCCCTCATTGTCTGAAATCAAAATCAACAGGCTTTCTGGGAAAGATTAAACCCCCTCAGAACCTAACACAGTTCTTCATTTTCCCTTGGTTGCAAGTTTGAAGAAACTCCTCAGATTCTCCCATACTGCAGTAATATATAGTCATAGTTCCAACTTGAAGAAAAAAAGTTTCGTCCGATTAGTTTGCAAACTTTTGCCATTTTACAATCTTTTAAAAAAACAGCTGAACAATGGATCTAACAGCTCCCCAACCAGCAGATCTTCAGAACAGGGTTAAAAAGTTTTCTGCCAACAATTTTGGGCAGCAAAGTATGCCTCATTTCTTGATGCCCGCTAGGACAGACACATGCCTCATCTGTAAACAAAGTGTGCTCCTTGCTTCTGAATGATTGTCCTGTCCTTGTACAGAATTAATCTTGGCTGATAATTCACCTAAGGGAATTGATTGATTGGGTGAAAAGCTTAAATAGGACCAGTTTATGCAGAAGAATAGCAATGAACCAGTGTTATTAAGCAGCCGAATTGGAAACAAGCAAACAGATAAAACCAGAGGAAACTTGTAAAAAAATAGTTTAAATAGGCCAAAATATTGAACCCCAATGAAATGTGGTGTGTAACTAATTGTTGTCGTCTCCCTGTCCCGCAATAGGGCCTTCGTATCTCAAGTGGCTATCAATCTGATATTTGGCCAGTTCAGATTATCTATGTGAATGCAGCAACTTCTAAGTAAAATGTTTGAGGCTGCATTCTATAGCTACTCGGGAGAAGGCCTATTTGAAGCTTTACTTGTAGGAGTAGCAGAAACTGCCTTTATAGCAAGCCAGGCCATCATTCCATCCAGCTTGATGTTGTTGAACACCAGCTCTCATCATCCCTGACTGCTGGGCATCCTAGCTGGGGCTGATCGGTCTCCAACAGCATTTGGAGGGCACCAGGTTGGGGGCACTGGTGTAGCCTGATGGGTTGCAGTTCTTCAAGGGTCAGGACAGGGGTCCCTCCCTACCCTGCCCTGGAGATGCCTGGAACTGAACCCAGAGCCAGACAAAGTTCCTGGTGGAATTCACTTTCCGGTAAGGAGACACACGTTTGGTAGTACTTTCAAGTCTATGTGTGTGTAGTGTAATAGATGTAGGTAAAATGAATAAACTTTAGGATATTGATTAATTGAGACATGGATTAAAGTGCAGAACTGTGCCAAACAGGGAATTCAGGAAATTCCTAGGCTGGCTTATGCAAACCAGCATGGCCAAGCTAGGACCATTAAGGGAACAATGATGGGCTGTAGAGGAGAGGAATCTTGAGGGGGGGGTTTTGAGATACAGTGGTGCCCCGCAAGACGAATGCCTCGCAAGACGGAAAACTCGCTAGACGAAAGAGTTTTCCGTTTTGGAGGTGCCTCGCAAAACGAATCTGCTATGGGCTTGCTTCGCAAGACGAAAATGTCGTGCGAGTTCCGGGGTTTTTTTTTTCCATTCCCCCCTCTTTTTCTAAGTCGCTAAGCCGCTTATCTGCTTATCCGATAAGCTGATAAGCTGCTAAAAGCCGCTAAAAGCCGCTAAAAGCCGCTAAAAGCCGCTAAAAGCCGCTAATAGCGCTAATAGCGCTAATCCGCTAATCCCATCAATGGGCTTGCTTCGCAAGACGAAAAAACCGCTAGACGAAGAGACTCCCAGAACGGATTCTTTTCGTCTTGCGAGGCACCACTGTATTACCAAGGGGATGGGGTATGTGCTTGAGGGGACAGGAAAAGGGAGTTTGGAAGCAGGATCTTCTGGGAGTCAGAAGGAGGAAGTGAGGGTGAGATCCATCTTTGGAGTGGACTGGCTGCAGGCAGCTTACGCTGCTGCCTCTTGGGACGACTATGGCGTAAGATCTGGACCCGCTCCATGCAGGCTGAAGGTGTAAATAGGTGAATAAACCATATTTCTTAAAGCACAGCAGTCTCTGCCGTGTCTTCCATTCTCCAAACAGACACAGACCCTATGTGTGTGCCTGTGACCACATGCACTCTTGCCACTGCTTGGCAGAGAGAGAGGCTGTCTTTTGTAACAGTATTATATTTGAGGACAGCTGTGAAGCCTTACCTGTGTGTGCCTACTCAGAAGGGCCTCTGGGTGCTGTGGGGCTTTCTCTTTAGTAATTTTGTACCTACAGCATCGTGAACTTAGTCATGCAATGCATGACAGAATAGCTTGAAAATGTGGAGCAACCTGTGAAGTTTCTGTAATGAGCAACTGTGCTGAGACACTGAAACTTCTGAACAAAGGAGGGTGTGTCCCTTGTATATTTTCCTCCTAGGCCCCCTATATTTCTGCACTATTAAATATCCATTTGCAAGAATGCACCAGCTGTTTTTGAGAGAAAATAGAAAATAGTGATGTGTGTGTGTTTGAGGAAGCACCCGACCCAGGAAAAGGTGGGTGGACAGTCTCTGACAAATGGTCTAACTTTCATGATGTTGGATTGTGATGTGTCATTTGGGGTTGGGTAATAGTTAATAGAACCGGGGCAATGTTTTGCAACGACTGCTTTGCAGTTGAAAGCTGCCTTCCACCTATGACAACATCATGAACTTCAAATCCTCGTTATTATTAAATTCTAATATTTCTTTATTAAAAAGCATCAATACCCACACTTTTCTGTAGTGTGGCCCAGGTGGCTAACAACAATGGCTTTAAGCCACGGGTAGGCAAACTAAGGCCCTGGGGCTGGATCCGGCTCAATCGCCTTCTCAATCCAGCCCATGGATGGTTCAGGAATCAGCGTGTTTTTACATGAGAAGAATATGTCCTTTTATTTAAAATGCATCTCTGGGTTATTTGTGGGGCATAGGAATTCGTTCATATTTTTTCCCCAAAATATAGTCCACCCCCCGACAAGGTCTGAGGGACAGTGGACCGGCCCTCTGCTTGAAAAAGTTTGCTGACCCCTGCTTTAAGCAATAACTCAACAATATTCAGAGCAGTTTTGATAATGGCAGTAGCAAAGTCAAAAGCAGAGCTTTCCAAACTTTCCATGTCTTTGACATACTTTTTAGACATGCATCATTTCACGACACAGTAATTCAGTTTTACATCATTTTGCGACACAGTAATTCAGTTTTACTTGTAAACCAGAGGTTAAACTAACCCCTTTCCAGCCCTGGGAGGAGCGCAGGGAATGTTGGTGTGACACACCTACACACTGCAGCTGATACACTAACATGTCGCGACACACAGTTTGGAAAGCTCCGGTCAAAAGACACCCATACAGAAGAAGGGGGACACACAAAGAACCATTAGAAACCATTTGATTGGTTCTGAATGTTTCCAGAAGAAAAATCCCCCAAATTGGGATCAGATTATGGGTTGCTAATAAATCAGAGTAACTGATTTTGTCAAATTGGAAGATGCATTGTCTGGTGGTGTTGGCAGTGAATGGTGTATTGTGTATGCACATTTAAGTGGTCAGGTTTTCCAGAAATAATAGGAAAGGGCTCCTTTTCCTAGCACTGCTTTCATGTTTAGAGGGAAATTTGGCTGTCTTGATCACTCAGTGTGGAAAACTACTGGAGTTTTGCATGGCTTATCTTTTGGAAGTTACTATTTAACTTGGTATATTTATGGAGCAATCATAGTGGCATATAAGCCAGACGGGGGAATCTGGCACTGCTATGCCATATTCTCCTTAATACACCATATTTGATGCTTGTGCAGCCTTGTTGGGGAAGGGGAAAAACGCACAAGCAGAAAACCCCAAAGGTTGTAAAAATCACACACATGTGTACAGCATCCAGATGTAAAAATACATGCCTACAGCATCCCTGGAGATGACACCTGATTTTGCCAGTGCCCATCAGTCAACAGTGCTGGTTGGGGCTGATGGGAGTTGTAGTGTAAAACATCTGGAGGGGCACCAGGTGGATGAAAGCTGCTATACAGAATGTCCTAGATAAGGAGCTGAGATTCATGCAGGAAAATATATTACCCGATGTTATAAGCCATTACTTATATCCACACTGTGTAAAACTAACTAACTAACTAACTAACTAACTAACTAACTCCAAACACCATGAATGTAAGAGCACTATTAGGAAATCTATGAATACAGCTTCTCATAAAAGAATGAGTGGACAGATTGTAGCCTCAACAGTCTTAATAATATCTACACCAGGGGTGGCCAACCTGATACCCTCTTGTCCTGTGTCAGAGGCTGCAAATGCTACTATCTATCAGGGTGGGGTTTTGGAAGAGGAACCAATGATCTGCCATCTTGTTTTCCCCTCACTGTAGTTGTTATGGCACCCCAGATTCCCTGGGTCCTGTGCCATGTGGGGAAGGGAGTTCCTGGCTGCACTGGATGTCCTCTTCTGTTCGCCCACTCTTGCCTTTAGATCACCACCAGGTGATTTTATTTTTCTACAAGTCCACCTTCCACCTATCGGCCTAAAATTCCCTTTGCATCACCTCATAGAATCATAGAATCATAGAGTTGGAAGAGACCACAAGGGCCATCGAGTCCAACCCCCTGCGAAGCAGGAAACACCATCAGAGCACTCCTGACATATGGTTGTCAAGCCTCTGCTTAAAGACCTCCAAAGAAGGAGACTCCACCACACTCCTTGGCAGCAAATTCCACTGTCGAACAGCTCTTACTGTCAGGAAGTTCTTCCTAATGTTTAGGTGGAATCTTCTTTCTTGTAGTTTGGATCCATTACCTTGAGAACGGCTCAAAGATAGCGTAGGACTTAGAGTTTTCAATGTGGATTAAGGGAGACCATAAAGTTTTTAATGAAATGACATTAAAAGTTGACTTAGAAAGAAAAAAATGTAGTTCGTAAAGGGGAAAAAAGAGAACATTTGGTCCAGGAACAGTTACAGGCACACAATAAATGTCCCAAAGGAGCAAAAGGACAAAGAAAGGAAAGCTAAAAAGCGACCTGCTTTCCCTCTCAAGTCACAAACGTTTCCATTGTATCCTGAGATACAATCTTGCTCTGAAACCTGAAGCTGACTGACCAGTAATCTGAAGTTACTGGCTAGATATAACCTCTTTCCCAACAACAGCCATGGTCTATGTGCCTCCTGTCTCAATGTTTCTGGCACCCTCCTCTGTGTGTGTGTGTGTGTGTGTGTGTGTGAGAGAGAGAGAGAGAGAGAGAGAGAGACAGAGAGAGAGAGACAGAGAGAGAGAGAGAGAGAGAGAGAGAGAATCAGTGTGGGGACTCAGCCATGAAATTTGCTGGGTTACCTTGGGGCAGTCACAGTCTCTCAAGCCCAACCTACCTCACAGGGTTGTTGTGAGTATAAAAATGGGGAGGAGGAGAACCATGTATGTCACCTTGAGCTCTTTGGAGGAAAAGGTGGGGTATAAATGTAATAATAAACAATAAATCTTTGCCCTGTTGTGGATATTCATTGCTGTTCTTTCACTGCCAGGTGTCATGTCTTTGTGGTTCTGCTCCTTGCCTCTTGTGCGGCTGTTGCCCCTCAACAAAGAACTCCACCATCACACGCCTGAGCTTCACCTTGTTCCTGTTCCTGGGAACGTTGGTGTCTATTATCATGATCATCCCTGGAGTAGAAGCAGAACTCTACAAGGTAAGGAAATGTGTTTCATCGGGGTGGCTAACTTGCAGCCCCTACAGATGTTGCTAAACTACACCTCTCGTTTTATTTGTATGCTGCTTTTCCACAGTTAAAACCACGCTCAAGTCTTTGGTAGCTGGAGTAAGTCAGGGTCCTGTCTTCCCAGGCCAGGTGGGAAAAGTCCAGCAAAGCAGGGAGCAGGTATTACAGAACTCACAGCCAAGATGGTCTGTTAAGGCCAGGATCTTTGCACTCATTCTTTTATAAGAAGCTGTTGTTGTTTAGTCATTTAGTTGTGTCCGACTCTTCATGACCCCATGGACCAGAGCACGCCAGGCACTCCTGTCTTCCACTGCTTCCCGCAGTTTGGTCAAACTCATGCTGGTAGCTTCGAGAACACTGTCCAACCATCTCGTCCTCTGTCGTCCCCTTCTCCTTGTGCCCTCCATCTTTCCCAGCATCAGGGTCTTTTCCAGGGTATAATAAGCTATATTATTATTATTGTTATTAAAATTTGTATACTGCTCTTCATCCAAAGGTCGCAGGGCAGTTTACAACAACAAAATACAGAATGAGAACACAAAATACACAACAACAACAACAACAACAACAACGAAAAGAATACATCAGACGAAGCCAGGGCTCTAGACATTTTTTGTTGCCTGAGGCAAAGGACAAAAATGGCACCCTCCCTTTCCACACATGGAATCAAACTGATCTGGCAATGGGAGACAGCAGGATAGCTTAGGGGGTGCAGAGGGAATGGGGGGACGACTGCTGCCTCACTCCCAAGAATCTGCTGCTCTCACTCTGCCTAGTAGTACTAGGGCCAGCCTTGGCACCAGTTCAGAAAATGGTTGGCATGATGGGAATTGTAGTCTGGCAACTTCTAGAGGGCCTCAGGTTCTCTGTGCCTGTTTTAGAAGTACTGTACCAAGACTGACATTAAGTGGTTTAGTTTCCTTCTGATGAAAGGGTGTTCTGGAAATGTAGAGTGTTTTGGAAAAAATAAATAATTTTATTTCCAAATATGCAAGCAGAGCATAAGTGGAGGCAAACAGGCACTCCTGCTGCAAGGGAGCAGTTCTGCTAGGCATGTACCAAAATTAAACCTATTATTTATGTGTGCCCTTTATCAGATTCCTGGTTTCTGTGATGAAGGCAATACAGTGTTAGGTGTCCACGGTAAAGTCGCCTGCAAGTCCTTCCTGGGTCACAAATCGGTATACCGCATGTGCTTTGCCACAGCTGCCTTCTTCTTCCTGTTTGCCTTGATAATGATCTGCGTGAGGAGCAGCAAGGACCCAAGAGCCTCAATACAGAATGGGTGAGGAACATATTTGTATCTATGGTGGGAATGTCCAAAAGCCAAAGCCTTCTGGGGTACAGTCTTTTGAGAAATCTGATCTATCATAAAGTGTTGTATTTTACCCTCACCATAACCAGCACTCCTTAATCTTCTTATGGAAGGTGATATTCTATAGTTTATAGTAGGGAGCTAGTTGGACACTATTGGCTGTTTCATGACTCATGATTGCAAGGTTTTGGAGGGATATGGCTGGAGCTGATTTGAATTATTGGTACAGAAAGGAATGGGATATTGTAGTGTTGGAAAAGTTAATGTTGAAATTAACAGTACTTGGACCTAATAATATTATTCTAAATGGAGCAGTGAAATGTATGTTGCCAGTCCCCTTTGAGAAGTCTAGTCAAAAAGCTGGATAAAAAGGTAAAGGGACCCCTGACCATTAAGTCCAGTCACAGATGACTCTGGGGTTGTGGCACTCATCTCGCTTTATTGGCCAAGGGAGCCGGCGTACAGCTTCTGGGTCATGTGGCCAGCATGACTAAGCCGCTTCTGGTGAACCAGAGCAGTGCATGGAAACACTGTTTACCTTCCCTCCAGAGTGGTACCTATTTATCTACTTGCACTTTGACGTGCTTTCGAACTGCTAGGCTGGCAGAAGCAGGGACTGAGCAACGGGAGCTCACCCCTAGTCGTGGGGATTCAAACCGCCGACCTTCTGATCGGCAAGCCCTAGGCTCTGTGGTTTAGACCACAGCGCCACCCACATCCCTTAAAAAAAGCTGGATACTGATCTATTAAACAAATAAAGGCAGGGCTTTTGTCTTCTGAAGTTGACCTTCGTTTGTTCAAAACCAGCAGGTCAGTTTCACTTGTGTATTGTTAGCATTATTATTATTATTTTTGGAGGGTCATGACAGATGATAATAGTTTGACCCAGCTTCTTTCCATGGGCATTGGGCCATTTTTTAAAAAATTGCCTTTCTTCTATGAAACTCACCAGGCAGATTTTATTCATCTGTACTCAGAACTAAGTCCCATTGAGTAGTTCTAGGTAGGATGGTACAGCTGCAAGATTTTGCAGGTGACTTCTCGACCATCTCACGGAACAGACCCAGATGTGATAATAATAATAATAATAATAATAATAATAATTTATTATTTATACCCCGCCCATCTGGCTGGGCTTCCCCAGCCACTCTGGGCAGCTTCCCAAAAAATATTAAAATACTGTAATACATCAAACATTAAAAGCTTCCCTAAACAGGGCTGCCTTCAGATGTCTTCTAAAAGTCTGGTAGTTGTTGTTTTCTTTGACATCTGGTGGGAGGGCGTTCCACAGGGAAGGCGCCACTACCGAGAAGGCCCTCTGCCTGGTTCCCTGTAAGTTGGCTTCTCGCAGTGAGGGAACTGCCAGAAGGCCCTCGGTGCTGGACCTCAGTGTTACCTTCAGCAAGGTTGCTGTGCATCACATGCCCCCCCAACTCTTAAAAACTTTTAGTTAAGCCTTCACTCCAGCCTGATGGCCTCCAGCTGTTGTTGAACTCCTACTCCCATCATCCCTGACCATTGGCCAATCTGGCTGAGTCAGATGGGAGTTGACGTCCAGCGTCATTTTCCAGGCACAAGGTTGGGAAAGCTGTTCTAGTTCCTCCTTCCTGCTTTGCATACATCATAGAGCAGCAGTGCTTCAGACGCAGAGCCTGTAGGCCAAGACTTACGTAACTCCGCATTAGCCAATGTTAAATGCCTTCATACCTTTCCTGAAATAGGACCAAGCAAGATATAAATAAACCCTGCTTTAAAATCCTCACTCAAAATAATGCACCCTACCTTTTGACAAGGGTTTCTCTGCCTGCGCCCCACAAAGCTCCAACTTTCCTGGATAATTTTTGAGTTCTAGTGTTCTTAGGGCTTCTAAAGCAAGATTGCTGAGGCTGCGACAGCTGATGTTTAAATATTTCCCAACTGCAACTTATCGTGAGTTGTGTGACTACTGTCTTCTGGTTGGAAATAGCAACTCTGTTTTCTGATGGGGGAGTGCAGGAAGCTGCCTTGTCCTGAGTCATACCATTGGGTCATCTGGTTCAGTATTGTCCACACTGACTGGCAGCAGCTCTCCAGGGTTTTGGACAGGGTTTCCCTCCCAACACTACCTGGAGAAGCCGGGGAATGAACCTGGGGCCTTCCGCATGCAAAACAGATGTTCTGCCCCTGAGGTATAGTTCTTCTGTTTCTCTTTGAGCCTCATATTCACCTGTAGCCTCTTAGCTTACTTATTTATTCCTGCAATGTATTCTTTGCTTTTTGTGGCCAAGCCCTCACAAAGTGATGTACAGAGAGAAATGGAGAACAGCAGACCCTCAAGACCCTTGAAGCATGAGCGGATGTAGAAAAATAGATGCATGAGGGATATCAAACAGGGGTCACCAAACACCATGGTGGGGTTTTTTTTGCATACGGGTCTGATAATGTTGGGACGCGGGTGGCGCTGTGGGTTAAACCAGAGCCTAGGACTTGCCGATCAGAAGGTCGGCGGTTCAAATCCCCACGACGGGGTGAGCTCCCGTTGCTCGGTCCCTGCTCCTGCCAATCTAGCAGTTGGAAAGCACGTCAGAGTGCAAGTAGATAAATAGGTACCGCTCTGGCGGGAAGGTAAATGGCATTTCCATGCGCTGCTCTGGTTCTCCAGAAGCGGCTTAGTCATGCTGGCCACATGACCCGGAAGCTGTACGCCGGCTCCCTTGGCCAATAAAGCGAGATGAGCACCGCAACCCCAGAGTCGGCCACGACTGGACGTAACGGTCAGGGGTCCCTTTACCTTTACCAGATAATGTTTCTTGTGGCAGTGCGCAGGTTAATAGCCAAATTTTAGGAACAAGATGAAAGAACCAAATATTGAGCACTGGTATGCACTGGTTTGGGACGTTGCATTCTAGGAAAAAAGCTTACTGAAGGAGGAGCCACAGAGTGAGAAGAGATGGGTGTTTTCTCTGAAATGTGACCCTTCTTTATTGACTTCATAAAAGAAGGTTAGCTGTCATAAGACACTCTCCAAATACGACTGAGTCACTGTGGAGGGACACAGTCATATAAAGCCTAAGATGTACAGAGTTTTGGTAGGGCAGTTATAACTGTGATGTCTCTTCTCAATTCCTGCAGGTTGTGCTTTTATTGAATGTGTTCCTGGTAATGTGTGTATGTTTTAAAAGGTATATTTTAAAAGGCAGTTGTGGGGAAAAGAATCAAGGCCATTTTGAATGCCAGAACTGAAGGGGCCAAATAAATATTAAATGGAAGAACTCCACAACTGCAGGGTTACTACAAAGAAGACCTGTCTCTTATGCTTGCCAATAGATTTTGTCAGTAAGCGGACATGGATTACCTGAGACACAGGTCTTGGATTATGGGCAGGGTTGTATGGTTGGTCCTTGAGGTAACCCAGTCCCAAATTGCTAAGGGCTTTAAAGGTGAACCCCACTGGTTGGAATCAAGCTCAGAATTGAACTGCTGGCTAATGCAAGTGACAGAAAAGTTGTGTTGCATACCCAGAACTTCTGTCTCTCATTAACGTCCGAGCAGCTGCACTTACGTTTTGTTGGAGCAAAACAAACGCTGCTAAAGAGGACTTTCTAGGACTCCTCTGTTTGTTTTTAAAATGTCTTTTCTCCTCTTCTCAACTCCAGGTTTTGGTTCTTCAAATTCCTGATACTAATTGGAATAACAGTGGGGGCCTTCTATATTCCTGATGGACCGTTCACATCTGGTAAACAAAACCTTGCATTTGCATTCCTGACTTGCAAAGGGGCTGTGATGTACAGTAGCTTTTGTGTGTGTGCTGCTCTACATAAGGTGGGGTTGGATACTTTCTGTCCTGTGAAAGCTAAGAAGAAGGGTAGTCAGAGCCATTCTTTGTCCCGTCCCCCTCATACATCAGTGCCTCAGGATGGGAAGTAGTAGCTGTACCTTCTCTGCTGGGTGGCTTTGAGCCATCCACCATTTTAATTTCCACCAGGCAATGCTACATCTGGGGCATTGTGGGTAATTAAAATGGCAGGCAGCTCGCAAGCTCAGCTGCCTGGTGCAAGTTGCTCAGAGCTGTGTCAAAGGTGAGTCCTGCTGAGTCTTTAGAAGCAGTGTGAATAGAAGGGAACAGATGCTTTCCATTCTTGGTTTTTTAAAGCACTCTCTCTAATCCTCTTTAGCTTCTGAGCTTTCAGCAAAGAGTCCTGCAATATTATTATTGTTTTCTTCCACGAACCACCTGGGGGTAGCGATACTCTTATTGCTGACAGTGGGTTGTACTCAATATTTATTCGGCTCAGAGCAGACACATCAAAATCAAAGGATGCAACTAACAAGCTCTTTGATTTTAATGGGTCTACTCTGAATAGGATTAATGGTGGATACTGGGAGGAGTCCTTTGCTGGATCCCAAATGACACACAGCTGGCACGCAAGAGTATTCACAGTCTCCATTTCCTTCTGAGTAGTGAACAACAGCGGAAGAACTGATTCCTTGCTTCCTCTTCATGATTGATTGCACTCTTATAATAGCTGCTAGAAGGGCTTGAGAGATTCTAGGGTGGATCATCCACATCAGTTAAGAAGCTGTGGATCAGGAAATTCAGGATTTGAACCTTACTTCTGGCCTTAGGCAAGGTTCTATCTTGTCTGTCTGTCTGTCTGCCTCTCTCTTTCTCTCTCTCGCATGAGACTGGGACCCAGCACAGATGGGTCTCTTGGCCTTTCCCCTAATTCTTCACCAAGGCTTTATCCATTACAAAACATCTTTTTCTGGTTCTGTAGACCTGCTGTAAGAACACAATAAGAGCCCTGCTGGATGTAGCCAAGGGCCTATCATCCAGCGCCCTGTTCTCACAGTTCTGAGCTATTTTTAAGGAAATTCACCAAAATCTATACTACTGACATACGAATCCCAGCTATGTCCGGGAAATTACAGACGTACGGGAACCCTAATACAATTTTTACATCCCCAAAGGATACCTGTTTAAAACTCCATATCGGCAGCTTGTGGCTAATAAACAATAACCCATATTTCCTTCTTTCTCTCCCCACCTCTGCTTTATACTTTTCCTCTCTCAAATAAGTTTGGTTCTACTTTGGTGTAGTCGGCTCTTTCCTCTTCATCCTCATCCAGCTTATCCTCTTGATTGACTTTGCACATTCCTGGAGTCAGATTTGGCTGCACAATGCGGATAATGGCAACTCGAAATGCTGGTATGCAGGTCAGTATGGAACACTTATTTACATGTGTGTAAAATTGATGTGCTCTGTGTGTGGGTTCAGACAAGCGGGTTCCTTGGTGGGCATCAAGGGGAGCATCTGAGAAGATTGTGGTGCCCACGTGTACCACCACTGAAGGCTCCAAGAACAGACTGTTGCTGGGTTCTCCACCCCCCACCACTTTGTGTTAAGTTTATATGTTGGGTCTCTCCTATTTCATATTTTCCTAATGATGTCATCACGCTGCAGTTTGTGTAGACACTGACAGATGGCGCTGTGAACTACAGCATGATAGCAGACTGGGTTCTCAGAGCTCCTGGACCACCGCAGCAGTGTTGGAGGGCAAGGAGGAGGGAACTGGGAGTGGGCAAGCTGAGATTTGGTCTGAGAGGAGGGGTGAATCTGGCAAGGGTTGGTGAGTGAAGTATGCAGGGGTCGAGCCCCTAGTATGCTATATTTTTCTATTAGTGCTGTATTTTTCTGCTCTCTTAGCTACTCCAAGAACATAAATATATGTCAAACAGTGCAGGGTATAAACTGTATATTGGTTCTAATTAGTCTCTGTGAATCCTCCTCTTTCAATAATTTCTTTTAGTTATAATCAAACTTAGTGGGAATAATAATAATGATAATATATTATTTATACCCCGCCCATCTGGCTGGGTTTACCCAGCCACTCTGGGCGGCTTGCAACAGAATATTAAAATACAATAGTCTATTAAACATTAAAAGCTTCCCTAAACAGGGCTGCCTTCAGGTGTCTTCTAAAAGTCTCATAGTTGTTTTTCTCTTTGACATCTGGTGGGAGGGCGTTCCTTAGGGCGGGTGCCACTACCGAGAAGGCCCTGTAACTTGGCTTCTTGCAGGGAGGGAACCGCCAGAAGGCCCTTGGCACTGGACCTCGGTGTCCAGGCAGAACGATGGGGGTGGAGATGCTCCTTCAGGTATACTGGACCGAGGGTATAATCAGACCCACCAAGAACCCCTCCCAAACATGTTGAGTGTAACAAGATCCTAACCTGATTTCTATTTTAAGTGCCATGTTTTCCCCTCCTTCATTTTGTTATCCCTCCCCTCACTTTTTTAAAACTAAAAAGCAACGCACAGACTGTCCTACTGCAAACAGATAAGCTCCCACTCCATTCCATTGCATTGGGAGAGACTTTGGATCAGGGCAAGGAACCAGCATGGCTTTGTTTTAAAATCTGGTTCCTCTGAGCATCTTGCAAGCATCCCTCTTTCTGCAGGGATGGGGAATCTGTTGCCCTCAAGATGCCATTGGGCTGCAGCTCCTACCGTCACTGACCATTGGCAACCCTGTCTGAGGCTGATGGGAGTTGGGAGTCTGGTGCAATCTGGAGGATTGTGCATGACTGCTACACCTGTCCATATGCACACTTACTTGGAAACACCCACTGAACTCATTGAACTTAATTCTGAGCAGATGTGCATTTGATGGTGCCATTAGTATTGGCTCAAAGAGAACTTGCAAAAACAGCAGACGCAATGGAGAAAAGTTCTGGGAAATGAAAGGATTGGATGGTGCAGGTCAATTCTGTGTCCAGGGCAGCTGTCTACCAGCTCCATCTGGTAGGCAGGCTGAGACCCTACCTGCCCACAGACTGTCTCGCCAGAGTGGTGATTGCTCTGGTTATCTCTCGCTTGGACTACTGCAATGTGCTCTATGTGGGGCTACCTTTGAAAGTGACCCAGAATGCAGCAGCTAGACTGGTGACTGGGAGCGGTCGCTGAGACCATATAACACTGGTCTTGAAAGACCTACACTGGCTCCCAGTACGTTTCCAAGCACAATTCAAAGTGTTGGTGCTGACCTTTAAAGCCCTAAATGGCCTCGGCCCAGTATGCCTGAAGGAGCATCTCCACCCCCATCGTTCAGCCTGGACACTGAAGTCCAGCTCCGAGGGCCTTCTGACGGTTTCCTCACTGCGAGAAGTGAGGACAGGAGAACCAGGCCGAGGGTCTTTTCAGTAGTGGCACCTGCCCTGTGGAATACTCTTGCATCAGATGTCAAGGAAATAAACAACTATCTGACTTTTCGAAGGCATCTGAAGGCAACCCTGTTTAGGGACGTTTTTAATGTTTGATGTTTCATTGTGTTTTTAATATTCTGTTGGGAGCAGCCCAGGGTGGCTGCGCAAACCCAGCCAGGTGGGTGGGAAAGAAAGAAAGAAAGAAAGAAAGAAAGAAAGAAAGAAAGAAAGAAAGAAATAAAGAAATAAATATTTTCGAATGTGGAGGGTGGGATTTGTGGCCTTCCAAATGTGGTTGGACTACACCTTCCCCATTATTCTGGACCATCAGCCATGCTACAGCTGCAGCTGACAGAGGTTCTAGTCCAACAGTGGGTGGAAGTCCACTTTTCCCCTGGCTTACTGGCGAGCTGTGTATCGACATCTCCCCTGCTTTCTTTTCTCAGCCCTCTTCATCTTCACGTTCCTCTTCTACGCTGTCTCCATTGCTGCGGTGGTGCTGCTCTATGTGTATTACACAAAGGCAGACGGTTGTACAGAAAACAAGGCGCTCATCAGCCTTAACCTCATCTTCTGTGTGATTGTGTCCGTGGTTTCCATCCTGCCCAAGGTCCAGGTAAGATGCTGTATTGAGAATCCAAGGCTACTCACTGATGAACTTTGTGGAGCTCTCCCAGGTCCTGGTCTGGCATTCTAACCATGACACCACATTTCCTGACATTAATTCTATTAACTTGGGCCACCTTTGGAGCAAAGCTCACACTAGGTGGCTTGTGTATCAGAAAGATGCAACACAATGTCTTGAAGGCCTAAGTCAGGCATCCCCAAACTCGGCCCTTCAGATGTTTTGGGACTACAATTCCCATCATCCCTGACCACTGGTCCTATTAGCTAGGGATGATGGGAGTTGTAGTTCCAAAACACATCTGGAGGGTCGAGTTTGGGGATGTCTGGCCTAAGTAGGCATGACTTGAGATGTGTCTCTGCATTTGAAACTCTCTCTCTCTCTCTCTCTCTCTCTCTCTCTCTCACTCACACACACACACACACACACACAGAGAGAGAGAGAGAGAGAGAGAGGGTATCAACTGGGGTGTGCACATACTGCTAATTAAAATGATCAGAACAGCCATGGACAGGGAATTTAACCTTTTCTTCCCCTGCCGAAGTCCTGAGGCTCTGCTCCACCCTGCCCAAAAAGCTAGTATTTAAAATACACACACACACACACTTGGGTGCTAGGGGACGAAAGAATTAAGTTATGTTTTTCTCTTTATATTTTTAAAAGCCCTAGCTGATGCAGTTTTATTTTAAAGACCACAGCAGCTCCCCTGTGTGTTGAATGCAAAGAAGCATTTAACACCGTGCCTCGTTCAGCCCTGATTTTTGCACCAAATATTCTTCGGTACTTTAAACAGGTGCTGTTCCTCTTCCTCTACAGGATGCCCAGCCTCACTCAGGGCTGCTGCAAGCCTCCATCATTACACTCTATACTATGTTCATCACCTGGTCGGCCTTGGCAAATGTCCCAAGTAAGTAGCACTTTTCCAACCATGAACTATTTCCTTTACTTTTATTCTTAATTCTGTGTATCCTGGTTTTTGTTTGCTTTTGTTTTTTTAAGGAAAAAACCATTGGGAGGAAAAGATCCAAAAGGGTTTACAAGCAAATTAAAACCATAGTAAAACAGAGTTCACAGAGAAAAATGAAAATGCCATATAAGAGCCTTCCCCAACCTGCTCTTGCTGGACTACAATTCCCATCACCACTGGATATTTTGATCAGGGCTGATGGAAGTTGTAGTCCAATAATATAAGGAAAACACCAAATAGGGAAAGCCGCTATAAGAAGACAGTTCTAAATTCAGTGGAAGGCTTGGACTTTTTTTTTCTAAAAGCCCTAAGACTAATTGAACTAAGTTCTAGGCACAATCTCCAATTAAGGAGCCACCACTGAAAAGGCTCTTTCCTTTTCAGCCTGATCTTTAAGCATGCCTGCGGTTGTGTACACACCACCGTAAATGTACATTTGGGTAACACAGATCTGATTTTCCTGTGTGCATTTCCGTGCATATTTGTGTGCAAACTTGCACTTACTTCTTCATGCAGTGCATCGTTAAACTATGGAACTCGCTCCTGCAGGAGGTGGTGGTAGTCACCAACTGAGATGGCTTTAAAAGATGATTGGACAAATTCATGCAGGAGAGGGCTACAGATGGCTACTAGCCATGATGACTATGCTCTGCCTCCACAGTTGGAGGCAGTCATGCTTCTAAATACTGCTTTCTGGAAACCACAGGAGGGGAGAGTGCTCTTGTGGTCAGATCCTGCTTGCATGTTTCCCATTAGGGTATCTGGCTGTCCACTATGAGAACAGGATTCTGGCTGGCCTGACCCAGCAGACTCTTCTCATGTGCTCAATAAACACACAAGACGTAACCGGCTGTATTTTTGAATAAATAAGGTATACTATTCATTGTATCAAATTGTAGATTTCAACGGAAGTTCCACTGAATCCTTTCACACAGTCTAAGACAAGGATTTCCTAGGATGGCGAAACAAGGCTAATATTCTGGAAATCCTTGTCTTAGACTCTGTGAAAGGATTCTGTGGAACTGTAACAACCCTTCATGTGGATTATTGGACTCTAAGAACAGACAGGTGGAATAGATACTTATACATGTATGGACCTTATTCATGAACTGACTAGAGAATGAACTGCTTCACTGGGTCTTCTGCTTTCTTCATTGAACTTTATGAGACCTCTGTTGAAATCTACAAATCGATACAATGAATAGTATACCCTATTTATTCAAAAGTACAGCCGGTTACGTCTTGTGTGTTTATTGAGTATGTTTCACGTAACCATAGGTTTGTTGTTGTTGTTCTTATGTGCTGATATGAGTACAGTGGTACCTTGGTTTACCATAGTTGTAAACCAAAACAGGTCGTAACCCAAGGCGCGCTTTCGCCAATGGGGCCTCCAAAAAATTTTGTTCGTAATCCAAAAAAAGGTTGCAAACCAGGACACGCACTTCCGGGTTTGACATGTTTGTAATCCAAAACGTATGCAAACCAAGTTACCACTGTACTTTCAGTTGAACTGTATCCCAGTGTTTACATTCCACACCAGTGGCTGGTGCTTGAAAGGATGTATTTGTACTCTGTACCCCTCAATTAGTATACCCCTATCCTCCCTGGTCTAAGTTTTCTAAATAAAACCACATTGACTGAGTTAACTGTTGTGGCACTATTCTTGGGGGAAGTGTCCACTTACATGCTTGTTTCTTTGCTGTTTTCTCCCCTTGTGCAGAAATTGGATGACTGTGTCTGCAAGTCTGGGACCAGTATCCCCTTTCCCCTCCTTAAAAGGAGGCTTTGGCAAAAGCAATGAGACAGACTTCAACCCAGTATCATGAGGAAAAAACCCCAGAGACGATTCCAAGTTGGATCTCATTCACTGTGTGTGTGTTATGGAACTGATGCCAGTTTGTCTCCGTGTCACGATGACATTTCTATCATTTACCCCTCCCTGTTCAAACTTTTGTTCCCTCTTTTTCCCGGAGACATATTTATCTTGGCTTGAAAGACATGTCCTCTTGTTGTAGCTCAGCCTGTTGTTTCTATTGACATGTGGGAGAGCCAGGCCATTCCTTGTTTCTACTGCAGCCCACAGAATCTGTCTTCACAGGTTCTTGGTTTGATGAGAAGTCTCATCTCTGCAGACCTGACAGCACAGAATACTTCCCCAGAAAGGATATGCAATTTATTTTCAGGGGAGTGAGAAGTTCTGAGTGTGCTTTTCCTGTGTGCAGGGTGTCTGGAAGGAAGTCGATCTGGCGTTCAGCAATGTCTGCAAAGCTCAAGGTTCCCCACACCTGTTTGAGATGTTTGTCTGTGTTTAATTTGCAGACAAATACTGCAACCCGACCCTTCTGATCCGAATGGAGGGCAATGGCACCAGCACCCTTCCTGCTGGTGGACAACCAACTCAGTGGTGGGATGCTCCGAGCATTGTGGGGTTGGTCATCTTCATCCTCTGCACATTCTTCATAAGGTAGGAATCCATATTCATTTAGAAACCAAACTCATCTAACTTATTAGGTGTCTTGAAGGCCACGTTCTGCCCGGGGGCCTAAGGTTCTTCTGCTCTGCCATAGGCCCCTGGTATGGAGAATAGAGAGTTAGATGGTTCAAAGGACTGATTTTAATATGAGGCATCTTAATACATGTGCAAATGGTACCTTGGTTCTCAAACTTAATCCGTTCCAGAATTCCGTTCCAAAACTGGAGCGTTCCAAAACCAAGGCACACTTTCACATAGAAAGTAATGCAAAATGGATTAATCCCTTCCAGACTTTTAAAACCAACCCCTAAAACAGCAATTTAACATGAATTTTACTTTCTAACGAGACCATTGATCCATAAAGTGAAAGCAATAATCAATGTACTGTACTATAAAATAAATAAGACAGTATTGTGGATGATAAAAATTAAAATTAATTTATTTTCTTACCTGCACTGATGATAGTCATTGTTTGGATGGGGGGCTTTTATCCATTTCCGCAGTCACACAATCAATCCATCAGTAGCTGAATTGGGTTCCACACAGTCACAAAAACAAAATTACCAAAAAAGCCTCAAAAACAAAAACGCAAAATAAATAGAAAGCGCCATACTTAATTCGTTCTGGAAGTCCGTTTGACTTCCAAAATGTTCGAAAACCAAGGCGCAGCTTCTGATTGGTGCAGGTGCCCCTGAAATAACAGCCGACAGCCGCATTGGGCATTCAGCTTCTGAAAAACATCTGAAAACTGGAACACTTACTTCCGGGTTTCTGGTGTTTGGGAACCAAGGCATTTGAGAACCAAGGTACCACTGTAGAACATAAGTGGAGAAAAAGAGTAAGAATTTCTGCCAATCACTTTATTTGCTACCCCACAGTAGACAGCTAGATAGAGGCATCTGTAATGTCTGTGGCAGAGTCATTCCTTGACCAAGAACAGGATTCTAAGCTGCTGTGGTTTAAACATAGACTACTCCACCCCAGGGCTTACAAAGTATTGCAGAAGGAAGACCACTCTATATAGCTGTGAGCGAGGAAGTACTCTAGAACAAGCCTCTGTGTCTGACAAGCATAGCCTCAGCTCACATCCTTATTTCTAAGAGTCCCAGGCTTCTGAACGCTTTAGACCTTGCACATCAGCCTTTCTGAGCCTATTCTACTTTATGTATATTCTGCCTAAAGGAGAGCACCCAGAACTGGTCGCTTGCTGATCTCGCACATGATAGACTCAAAGTACATTGAGCTTATGTTAGCTTCCAGTCTCCCCCTGCTGGCAATGAGTAATAAATCCCTTCCCCTGTTAACTGAAGAAAAGCTGTGCGCACAGCTGTCTATAAACATACCGTAACATTATACAGTCATACCTTGGGTTACAGACGCTTCAGGTTGCGTTTTTTGGGTTACGAACCCACCGAAACCCGGAAGTACCGGAATGGGTTACTTCCAGGTTTTGGTGGTTGCGCATGTGCAGAAGTGCTAAATCGCGCTTTGCGCATGTGCAGAAGCACTGAATCGCAACCCACACGTGCGCAGATGCACCGCTGTGGCTTGCGGCCACTGCGGGTTGTGAACGTGCATCCTGCACGGATCATGTTTGCAACCCGAACGTCCAGATATATATATATATTCAGGCACATAGTGGTGTATGCATATGCACTCAAAACAGCACCGAAAACATAGCGAGGGACGAAGGGGCATGCAACTGACATTCTTCTCCTTGCTTTACCTACAGCATCCGCTCCTCGGACCACGTCGAAGTGAACAGGATGATGCTGACGGAGGAGAGCCCAGCTATGATTGAAGGGGGCAATGCTGGCTTTGAAGGCGAGGCGCGCCGGGCTTATGACAACGAAGAGGATGGAGTGACGTACAACTACACTTTTTTCCACATCTGCCTCTTCCTGGCCTCCCTCTACATCATGATGACGCTCACAAACTGGTACAGGTGATTGCAACTGTCGCTCCCTGCAGGAGGATGGAGCAGAATTATTCTCTGTTTGCTCCCAAGGGCAGGAGCAGTGCCTGGTGGGTGGAAATCTACAGGAAAGCAGACTTTGGGGAAACGCTGAAAGAAAATAGCATGGCACATTGTTTAGTGTGGCACTTTGGAACTCCCTGCCTGTTTATATCGGGCTGATGCCTTCACTGTACTCTTTTTAACACCTGCTAAAAGCGCTTTTGTTTAAACAAGCCTACTCAGGTGCTTAGAAAGTTGACGTGAATTTTAATTTGTTTTCGCTTTTAATTTTTTCAACGTCTTAGCATGATAGTTGTCAGTTCTTCTTATTTATAATTTTATTGTGTTATCTTTTAGGTAAACCGCTTCGAGGTTTGTTGTTTTTTCAATCAAGCAGTGTATAAATTTGATAAAAAATATAATAAATAATAAAATAGCAGAGGCGTGCATATCCACCTCTAATCCAGGCCCAATATGGCACTTCAGAACTGTTCTAATTTGGGGGTTGACCAAACCTTGATCTGGGCACCAAATCGATGTTGAACCAACTCCAAGGTTTTATTAGGGTTTTAAACTGGGGCAACCCAAAGCTTTCTCCACCTGATCTGGCTCAATATCTGGGTTTCTGCTGGATAAGTTGGACAGCCCCAGAAAATGAGAAACAGAGAGCAGACTGTTTAGAGAGGTGGCGGGTTCTCCTTTGCTGGAGGTCCTTAAGCAGAGGCTGGACGGCCATCATGTCAGGGATGCCACTGTTGCAAGATCTGCATTGTAGATCTTACATTGAGGAAGAGATGGCCTAGAATGCTTCCAATGACGCTTCCATGTTAATTCTCTGGTCTGGTTCCTTCCCGGTTGAGATTACTCAGATGCACTGAAGGTGAGGCTGCATTTTGAAGACCCTTTGGAAATGCAGGATGTGGCTGGCTGGGTTTTGCCAGCCTGTGCACATTTTGTTGGCATAGTTTTTATTTTATTATCTCATTTCACCTATTTATAGCCTACCTTTCTCCCAAGTTGGGATTCAAGGCAAGCTTGCAACATTTTAAAAATATGATTATAAAATGCAAAGGAAGGAAAACAGGCTAGTTTTCAGAATAGTTAAATTGCAAGGAAACACATTAAAATACCAGTTGCCCCCATAGCAGCCTGGGGGTCAACATCATTTCCATCCAGCTGCCAAAGACCTATCTAATTAAGAAGCAAAATTTCAGCAGGGCATCCCTAAAGTAAAAGAAAGAGAGAGAAATGAACACACACACACAGGTGGAACAGATAGAATTTCCTAGGCTTATGGGGTATATAGAAATTGGTCTCCTCTTCTTCTGAGAGTTCTAGTGTTCTGCTTTGCCCACTACTGTTGCCTAGGTAACAAGGATGGAGCATCAGTTCTCCAAGATCAAGCACTTTTTTTTTTTTTTGGTGAGGAGGAAGGAGAGAGTGACCCCCATGAAGTCTAGAGGAGCAGATGGGAAGAGTTGCCTATGCATGTGCTCCAGGGAGAAGCCGTTGTGAAACAGCCCTCCCCCCGCCCCCCGCTCGCTGCAGAATCCCTGCTTGGAGTTTTCAAACTCTGCCTTGCTTGACTGTACACCCATACCTGGTGCCCCTCCCATTCCCAGTTGTGAGCACCTGACTATTTATAGCCCATGACTCACTGCCATCGCACCAGGCATGACCTGTACTCCTGCCAGTGTGTTCTGCAGTGCCTTCGCTCTGAACGCTTCGTTGTCTTGGTGAGATTGGCAGCACGGTGGAAGCTGGTCTATGACAGCAGACGTCTCTCCCGAAACCCCCCTCCTTCCACCCTCTCCAGTGCTCGGTTTCTGAATGAAAACTGACTCGAGAGGGTTTTTCTGGGATCATTTGCAAGGACAGGCGTAGAAAGCAACTGCAACCATGAGGCAGCAAGCAAAGCACGAAGACACAGCTTGCCACAAGTGCTTCGTGGAGGAAAGAAGGGGCTCCTGGCTCTCCTCTAACAGATAAAAGGCAGTAGATGTAGATGGATAGATAGATAGATGATAGATAATTTATTATGGTCAGAGACCTGTTTATAAAACACACTTGGGGGTACAATCACAGAAGGAAAACAATTAAAAAAATTACAACAATAAATTTAAAATTTATAAATGCGATAAGTGTATAGACACTTAAAACTTTAAGATAAGCTACCGCAGAGAGATGACCCTGAGTCACCCATGGAACCAAGTTTGGGGATTTTCTTAACGAGCTAGTTTCAGTCGGGGGATGGTCTGCACCTACAGATCTGTACACAGAATCTGGCGACCATCTGGGTTGTCTTATGATCTTTGCCTAACAGGAAAAGGTTGAATTTTTGCTTTTCCGGGAGGTCAGCGAGCCTCACCAGTAGGGGATCAATGGTCTTACTACATGCCTCTTCACAAAAGGGACATCTAAAGAACAAGTGTTCTGGGCTTCCTATATCCCCCAATGAACAGGCGCAAAGTCTCTGAACATATGGGACTTTTTAAAAGCTCCTTTCAGGACCGGCGAGGGCAGCAGAAGAAAGTACTTCTTCACACACTTAAACTGTGGAACTCCCACAGGAGGCAGTGTTGGCCACCAACTCAGATGGCTTTAAAAGAGGGCTGGTCAGATTCATGGAGGAGAAAGCTATCAATGGCTATTATGCATGTTTGGAGGCAGTCATATTTCTGAATCCCCATTTCTGGAAACCACAGGACGGGAGTGTTGCTCTGGTCCTGCTCACAGGTTTCCCATGGGCAGCCATTGTGGGAACAGGATGCTGGACTAGATGGGCCATTGGCCTGATCCAGCAGGTTCTTCTTCTGTATTTACGTTAATTCTAAAGGCCTAAACTAAATTGTCATAGTATGCAATGGCATAGTATGCATAGGCCTAGTATGCAATGTTAGGGACGCGGGTGGTGCTGTGGGTTAAACCACAGAGCCTAGGACTTGCCGATCAGAAGGTTGGCGGTTCAAATCCCCGTGACGGGGTGAGCTCCCGTTGTTTGGTCCCTGCTCCTGCCCACCTAGCAGTTCGAAAGCACGTCAAAGTGCAAGTAGATAAATAGGTACCGCTCCAGCAGGAAGGTAAACAGCGTTTCCATGCATTGTTCTGGTTCGCCAGAAACGGCTTAGTCATGCTGGCCACATGACCCGGAAGCTGTACGCTGGCTCCCTTGGCCAATAAAGCGAGATGAGCGTCGCAACCCCAGAGTTGGTCACGACTAGACCTAATGGTCAGGGGTCCGTTTACCTTTACCTTATGCAATGTTACCAGAGGCAGAGAATGCAAAAGTTGTCCAGAAGATAAAGAACAATTTGGATTTTTATATCCCTTCTTAAATAGGTCAATGGTGGAGTTCGGCGTTAGGAGTTGTCTGATGGATCTGGGCTTTCTGCAAAGCTGCTGTTGTGTTCTTTGTATTTGGGGGACTTGTAAACAGTATTGCATCAGCTCCCTATCTAGATAGCAGCTGCAGTCCAGCTGTGCACAGATGCTGCCTTCATTTTTTCTTTTAAAAAAATGTTCAACCGTGCACAGGAAGAATACAAGAATAATGTGAGCTATCCACGATGGGCTTCATTCAGGAGGAGGGGGGCAGGATGTACAGCCTGCTGAAGGCCACATCGCTCACTGTCCCAAGTGTGTAGAACTCAGGGGTTGCCAGTGTTTTGGAGCCCGTGCTCATGTTTGCAAACTGGAGAAAGCATCGTGGCCATTGCTGAAGCCTGTGCACACAAACCTTCTTCCCCGCCAGCAAAAGTGTTTGCTTTTCTTCAAGCTGGTGTGAGAGAGACTGAGAAACAGAGATCTTTTGGGAACATGCAGCTGGGGAGCTAAGGGCTGTGTCCAAGGAACTGCTGACACGTTCCTCTTCCGAGCACCTTCATTTGCAATGTGTGCCTGAACACTTGGAAGCGGAAACTGTGTAGATACCTCTTGGAGAGCCAGCAAGAAGACCCAGGGTTCCAATCCCCACTCCACTGTAAAACCCACTGCGTGACAATGGGTCACTCATTCTCTTTGACTAGCCTACCTCACAGGGTTGTTGTGAGGACCCAGTTACTGGGAGGGCAGGGAAACCCATGATGTATATCTGCACTTGAGATGGGACATGGTTGGCAAGTGATGGCAAGGCTGATGCAGGATGCAATATTTTTCAATCTTATCTTAATCCAGATACTTGATTTGTTTCTGTGTTCTTTCCTCAGACCTGAAGCAAACAACCAGGTGCTGACCAGCCCCTGGACTGCAGTCTGGGTGAAGATTTCTTCCAGCTGGGCTGGGCTTCTCCTGTACGTCTGGACTTTGGTAGCCCCCATTGTGCTTCCAGATCGCGACTTCAGCTGAAAGCTGTCTGTAGTGCCACACCGTTTGTGCTATGCAAAGAAGAAGTGTGTCTTGCTATGATGAAGGGGTTAACAAAGGAGACTCTTCGTTCCTTTACTTGAAATGTGGGCTCTGGTCCGAATGGGCACCGAAACTGTCCACGCAATCCCTTTTTGCTCTTTCAGCATCTAAGCAGATCTGCCACACTTGTGCCTTCGCCTGTTTCTTTTTCTCAAAGAATATGTTAAACAAAGGAAATGGGTCCACTTGTGTGTGATACTTGACACATATGTCATTATGGTTTTCTTTGCTGGGGGAGGGGGCAGTACAGATTAGGTTGCTGCTACTCAAGATGACCTCTAAGCATGTTGCAAAAGGCCCTAAAGGATGGCCAACCAGTTATTTTTCTAAAGAATGCTCAGCATGAGAATAACTTTGAATGTCTCTGTTTAAAGGAACCCTTTTGCCAATTTGCCTTATTGCAAGAATACCTCTTTGTTTTGGATAAATTTGTTTATTTTGATATGCAACTTTGTGTAACTTGGGAGTTTTCAATAAATGAGCAGACTTGGGCATAAAATATACCAGCGCTGGAATTCTGCCAACGAGACTTGATACCACCTATTCCCATGGAAGGAGTAGGATTGTTGTTGTTTAGTCGTTTAGTCGTGTCCGACTCTTCATGACCCCATGGACCAGAGCACGCCAGGCACTCCTGTCTTCCACTGCCTCCTGCAGTTTGGTCAAACTCATTTTGGTAGTTTCAAGAACACTGTCCAACCATCTCATCCTCTGTCATCCCCTTCTCCTTGTGTCCTCAATCTTTCCCAACATCAGGGTCTTTTCCAGGGAGTCTTCTTAAAAAGTAAAGCTGACATTTCATTGATGTAGATTGAATTGTTAGGGTTTGGCTCTTACACACAATGGCTGCGGTTGGGATTGGAGGAGAGGTTCTGTTGAGTATTCCATGTGTGAGACATTTTGCAAAATGGTGGGCATCAGTAGTCCAAACTTGGTAGCAAGAGGTTGAAGGAACATTTGTTTGCTCTTGGCTAGAGGGCTTGCAATAATAAGAATAAGAATAAGAATAAGAATAAGAATAAGAATAAGAATAAGAATATTTTATTTCTTACCCACCCTCCCCAGCCAAAGCCGGGCTCAGAGCGGCTAACAACAGTAAAAATAGCACAATTTACATAAAATCACAGTCAAATTAATTGAAATACATTCTAAAATCAGTTCAGAATCAAATTAATGGCAAGGATGGAAGAATCCACATTTCATTTCGGTCATCTTTAAATTACTCCAAATCACAGCAAAAACAAACAAAAAACAACAACCCTATACAGGATTTTGAGAGACCCACGAGCGCATCTTACCTCCCTGCATTGTTATTGACTTCTCATTCATCACTTTATACAAAAATGGTCTTTGAAAGCATCATCATCATTATTAATGTTGGTGTCATCTATTGTAGCTCAACCACATAAAATACAAAATGGCTAAAAAATAAATCTGTTAACACCAGATAACAAAGAGGAGAAAATTCAATAAACTTCTTAAAAGTGCTTATACAACAATATTAAAACAACAACAACAACAACAACAACAACAACAAATTTTTATTTATATCCCGCCCTCCCCAGCCGAAGCCGGGCTCCCAATAGCTTTTGATAGGCTTATCCTCTACCACAAACTTGTCCAATTCCTCTATTAAAGGCATCCAGGCGTGTGACCTTGTGGCAAAGGCAGCCAATTAATTACGTCTTTGTGTGGTGAAGGACACCAGAAGCTCATAATAACAGGGCTGGAGGAGACCTTGTAGCCTGCTGAGACCATCCCTTGCCTTGATGCAGGAAGTCCATGGCTGTCCAGTCTTTGCTTGAAGACCAGGAGATGCTCTCGCTCCCATTAGACAACATGTGGGCAGCATCTGAGTCTCATTTGGCCTTGGAGACCTTCAGCACAGCCTGTACAGGTGCCCAAGCCACCAGAGTTTGTGGCATTGCTTCTCAGTTCATGCTCCTACAAGCCAATAGACTACCCCAGGACCGGGAAATTCATGCCTGGGGGCTGAATGTGGACATCTGAATCTCTCTCTCTGACCCTTGGAACTCTGCCTAGGCCACACACCTCTCTTATCCCAAGTGTTTTTGCCTGATTGGAATTTGTCCTTGAACACTGATAATACTTTTTGCCTGTGGTCCCATTCACCAGTAGCATGTGGGTCTCAGAAAGGGTACCCAGAAAGCAATGCGACCCTCTGACTGAAAAATGTTCCCCACTGATTGGTTTGTTGAACTGAGCCAATTACTGACCATTGCTTGAGAAACTGGCTTTGTTTCTGCAAAGCAGGTTGAAGATTAGGATTTGGCCGTAACACTAAACTGTGGTTAATCTAAAACATAAGTGGAAGCTTCTAATCATGCCAGGGCTGTGTCACAACTTGTCACTTCATGCTAAATCGTGGTTTAGTGCTGTGTGCACAAATTTGGCCTGATATCTTTTGCTATAACAATGGACATTTGATGTATCATGGTTTTAGGGTTGCATTGGGTTTCCCTGATTTCAGACTCCACCTCCTTGTCAGTGCCCATAACCAATGCCCAAAATGGATTTGGATTTTTCAAAGCCCATAGTTATTAGAAGGCAGATTTAAGCTACCGCTGTGGAAGAAAGGCTGCTATCACTCTCATGAACACTAGAGGGTAGCACTAGCCTAGGACAAGGAATCATGGTATGTTTTGCTAAAAGTGTGCTAAAAACACAGGGCAACTGAGGTCCTTTTTGCATAGCAGTCAAAGTAGCTTTCTATACTGGGGAAGGAACCAATGTTGGAAGATATTATCTTGCTGGATAGTTCAGAACAGTCTCAGCCCTCCTGATTTCTCTGAAGGTTCAAAACATAGCTGTCAACTTACAGATTTGAAAATAAGGGACCAGCAGCCTCAAAAATAAGGGATCAGCAGCCAAAATAAGGGATCAACAATTACTTTGATAAAATACATATTTTGTTGCGTGCAAATGGCTTTAGATACCTATTAGGTCCATTAATTATCATATAGCTTATATTCAACACAAAAAACAGCAACAATTTGTTGTTGACAAAGGACAGCTGGACATAGAAAGGGCCCCATTACCTTCAGTAGCTTTTTTAAGGGACATCCATCAATAAGGGACAGCAGCGGGACATGGCGCTGGGATAAGGGACTGTCCCGCCAAATAAGGGACGCTTGACAGCTATGGTTCAAAAGGAGGGTGTGAGGTGATTGCCCACTCTAGATGTTCAATCTCCATGTATGCAAAAAGCATCTGGACAGCAAATAGATGTTGATAGACCTGCCCGTTATAAGTCTCTCTTTCTGTAGACCTCTTGTTTGGCCTTACGACTCTGTCCTTTCTGCTGGTGTGGCCAGGTGTGACTTGCAATCTGCTAAGTTGCAGGCAGCCCACGGTTCTATGTGTTGTCCCAGCCTGGCTGCAAGCACAGGATGCAGTCGATCGATCTCTTGGGCCACCCCCTCGGCTCTAAATTCAGTGGTACCTCTCTAAAGCACCATTGCCACTCGGATGCAGGCAACTTCCTGCTTGAAGCTGATTCCTCTGCTGTGCTCTCATCACATGACGTGGTGAGCATGACCTGTCCTGTCCGTCTCTCCTAGGCGGCGATGCCGCTTAAGAGAATTAAAAGGCTTCCAGTGCAATTGTTTATCGAGCAGCATGTATCGACGTGCCCCTTCTGATGTGGTCGCTGGACAAAGTAAGAAGCCGATTAGTGCCTTTCCAATAATCTCAAGGAGGCAGACTCAGTGACATCATTGGTATTGGCCACTAATGGGATTTTACTACAGTGTACACTCTTTTATAAATATTAATATTTTTAATAGCCACCCAGAGTGGCTGGGGAAACCCAGCCAGATGGGCGGGGTAGAAAATAATAATAATAATTAATAATAATAATAATAATAATAATAATAATAATAATAATTTAAACAATTCCATTGGAAGAAGAGATCCGTAGAGGGCAGGCCCACAGCTCAGTAGTAGAGCACCTTTGCATGCAAAAGGCACTGGGTTCGATTCCTGGCATCTCCAGGTAAGGCTGGGAGCATCTCCTACCCCAAACCCTGGAGAACCATGAAATGTTAATTATTATTATTATTATTATTATTATTTTATTTATACCCTGCCCTCCCCGGCCAGAGCTGGGCTCAGGGCAGCTAACACCAATAAAATTACAATAAAACATAATGGGGGGGGGACCAGTTTATTAAAATACGGGTTAAAATACAATTTAAAATGCAGCCTCATTTTAATAGTAGCAACAACATTGCACATTTCCATGTATATAGCGGTGAACACAATGAAAACATGAGAGCATGAGAAGATTCTGGCCTGACTGCACTGGCTGCCAATTAGCTCCCAGGCCCAATTCAAAGTGCTGGTTTTGACTTATAAAGCCTTCAATGGCTCAAGGACCGCCTCTCCCCATATAAACCGACCCAGACTCTTGTATTCCTCATCTGAAGCCCTTCTTCATGTGCCTCTTTCACATGAGGTCTGGACGGTGGCAAGACGAGAATGGGCCTTTTCTGCAGTGGCTCCCCATTTGTGGAATGCTCTCCTCGGGGAGGCTCACCTGGCGCCTTTAGCCACCAGGCAAAAACGTTCCTCTTCAACAAGGCCTTTGGTTGATTAATATTCTACAGCTGTTTAAATGTGTTTGTGGGAGGAGGAGGGGCTATTGCTTTGTTGATTTTTGTTGTAGTTATCTGTTTGTGGATTTATCTACATTTTATCTTATGAACCATTCTCAGTTTTCTTTATGAAGGGTGGTTTATAAATCTAACAAACAAAAAAACAAAAACAAATAAGAGCCTGCTGGATCAGGCCAATGGCCCATCTAATCCACCATCTTGTTCTCAAAGTGGCCAACCAGATGCCTTTGGGAGGCAAGCAGGACCCAGTCAGAAAAGCATTCTCCTCTCATGTGATTTCCAGGAACTGATATTTGGAATTTTTTTACAGTGAACCCACCTAAGGCACCTGTTTCATTCTACCTAATGACAGGGCCAGTGTGGGTGTGTCTACAGTTGTACCTCGGGTTAAGAACTTAATTCGTTCTGGAGGTCCGTTCTTAACCTGAAACTCTTCTTTTTTTTTTTTTTTTAAAGAATATTTATTCCAATTTTGAGATTACATAGAAAGAAAAAAGCAAAAAAAGAAAAACAAATCACATACACCCTACAAAAAAAGAACACCACACGATACAGAAAAAAAATACAAAAGACAAAAAAATCACAATACAAAAGTAACAAAAAATCAAATTAAACCATTAAGATCATTTTCCCATTTACTTATTTCCAAGACTTCCTCTCACTTCTCTGCTTTGTATTCTAATTTAAGTCGTATCTCCAGCAAACCCTTCTAACCTTCTTTTCATTTACTTAATTTAACATTCAAAAATATTTAATTCTCCTCTATTTTTTATTTTACACTACATATTTCCTTATTCCATTATACTCTGTCTGCCAATACGGTCTAATGTTCTTCTCCAACCTTTTCTAACATTCTTTTATGTTAC